TGAAGCATGGCGATCCGGTCAATATCGAGCGTGCAAGATCCCAGCCGGTCACCAAGCGGGCCCGCAATGGGAAAATGATTGTAAATCAAAAGGGCGACGTCTTGACTCGTTTCACGAACACCCAAGGACAAGAAATTGGGAGGCTGCCTCATGAGACTGCGGAGTGGGTTTCAACCCTTCTAGACCAGAAAATATGCTACTTCGAGGCCGTATGTGTATACATGCCGGAAAGAGTCCGCGTCAATGATACGGTCTACCTCCAGCTTCGATGTTTCTTACGCAAAGAAGCCTTCCAGCATGGCCTTTTTGTTAATACTAGTGACGACAATCGTGCCGTGAGTATGTTTGAAGAAAAGGAAAGCACCGAGGAGAAGAACCTTCGACTTCGTCAAGTTTCCCTTGTCAAACTTTTCCACGAGATCAATCTTCAGCCGACTTCAATCAACCCGACAACCGAAAAGCACAAAAGAGAGGGATTGCTCCAGGCTGCTGAAATGGCAGAGAAGTATGATGGGGTCAAGAAGGAGAAAGCGAAGACGAATAAAGATGACGATGAATCTTCTTCCGAAGACGAAACCCAAGAATTAGAGGAAGATCAACTGGACAGTCTCTACCGCAAGGCTCAGTCGTTTGACTTCAACATGCCCGAGGCTGAACCTGGCCCAGACTTCGTTCTCGACCTTCGCAAATACCAAAAGCAAGCGCTTCATTGGATGTTATCGAAGGAAAAGGACAAGCAAGAGGGTCGCGACCGCTCGATGCACCCCCTATGGGAAGAATATATTTGGCCAACCAAGGACGTGGATGACAAAAACCTGCCGCAGGTTGAAGGCATTGATCACTTTTATGTGAATCCCTACTCAGGCGACTTGAGCGTGGATTTCCCTGCACAAGAACAACGTTGTCTGGGTGGGGTTCTAGCCGATGAAATGGGTCTAGGAAAAACCATTGAGATGCTCAGTTTGGTCCACACCAATAAGACCGAACCTCGTACTGAGACATCGAATGGAATAACCTCCGTCAATGACCTTGCCAGAGTTCCAAACTCATCTACAGCCGTGGTCCCCGCGCCTTATACAACATTGGTAGTTGCTCCCACGTCATTGCTCGCCCAGTGGGAAAGCGAAGCACTTAAAGCCTCCACTCCTGGATCTATGCGTGTTCTGATGTATTACGGAACGGAGAAAGCAGCAAGTCTTCGAGACATTTGTTGCGAGGCAAAACATGCCTCTGCTCCTCACGTTATTGTCACCAGTTACGGTGTTGTGTTGTCTGAATTCCGCCAACTTGGTTTACAATCAACGATGGCTGCCGGGGCCCACAATGGGTTATTCTCGGTCACTTTTTTCCGTGTAATTCTGGATGAAGCGCATCTGATTAAAAATCGACGTTCAAAATCTGCCAGAGCATGCTATGAGCTCAAATCACTCCACCGGTGGGTCCTTACTGGTACCCCCATTGTCAATCGCCTGGAGGATCTATTCAGCTTGGTCCGATTCTTGAAGGTCGAGCCGTGGAGTAACTTCTCATTCTGGAAAACCTTCATCACGGTACCATTCGAATCTAAGGAGTACGTCCGTGCCTTGAATGTGGTACAAAGTGTGCTGGAACCTCTTGTTCTCCGACGAACCAAGACCATGAAAACGCCCGAGGGTGAGCCGTTGGTTCCCTTGCCTCGGCGCGTAATCAACATCGAGGAAGTAGAGCTCTCGCAACAGGAACGAGAAATCTACGACTGTATTTACACCCGTGCCAGGCGCACGTACAACGAGAATGTTGCGGCCGGCACTCTCATGTCATCTTACTCGACAATCTTTGCCCAGATTCTTCGGCTTCGACAAACCTGCTGCCATCCAATCCTCACTCGCAAAAGAGACATTGTTGCCGACGAGGAAACTCTAGCAGCCGCACTCGATGCGACCAGTGAGTTGAAAGATGATATGGACCTTCAAGAACTAATCAATCAATTCTCGACTTCGACTGAGAACGCCGAAACTGAGAACGCTGAAGCCGAGGACCGATCTATGAAAACGTTCACAGCTCATGCCCTTCGACAGATACAGACCGACTCTAGTGGAGAATGTCCAATCTGTTGCGAGGACGAGATGATAGAACCGGCTGTCACTGCCTGCTGGCATAGTGCTTGTAAGAAGTGTCTGCAGGACTTTATTCGGCATCAAATGAACAAGGGAGAGCAGGCACGCTGCTTCTCATGTCGCGTGCCGATCGACGCCAAAGATATCTTTGAAGTAGTCAAGCATCCAGCCATCCCCATGGAAAAATTCCCTTGGGACAGAGATGTACCAAGCATCACCGAGCCTGCTCCTCGCATATCACTACGACGTATCAACCCACTCTCTCCCTCCGCGCACACGTCAGCCAAAATCCACGCCCTGATCAGCCACCTTGGTCGAATTCCACCTAATACAAAATCCATTGTGGTTTCCCAATTTACATCTTTCTTGGATCTTATCGGCGATCAGCTTTCCCGCGTCGGGGTATCACATCTCCGTCTTGACGGCTCGATGCACCAGAAGGCTCGCGCTGCTGTCCTGGCAGAGTTCACCAAAACAGACACATACGTCGACGAAATCATTGATACCGAAGATGATACCCCTACAAATAAAAGGGCATCATCATCCAAGATGAAACCATCCTCGCCACCGGCGACCGTTCTCCTCCTTTCTCTCAAGGCCGGCGGCGTCGGGCTCAATCTCACGGTTGCGAGTAATGTCTTCATGATGGATCCATGGTGGAGTTTCGCCATCGAAGCGCAAGCCATCGATCGCGTCCACCGAATGGGTCAAACGCGAGACGTCGCCGTAACACGATTTGTTGTCAAGGATTCCATCGAGGGTCGCATACTAAGTGTGCAAGAACGCAAGATGAACATCGCTGGTACACTCGGTTTACGCGTTGGCGGCGACGACGCCGAAGATGATAAAAAGAAGGACAAGCTCGCCGATCTTAAGTTGCTTTTCGAGTAACCATGTCTCGGGTTAAAAGTTGGTGGTTTGCATATTGGTTGGGGTTTTAAGACGAGATACCCAGGTCTGGCGTCATTTGAGGAAAGCAGGTTGGGTCTGTGTTTGGACAATATGGCGCCATCATGTATATTTTGAAGTAGCATATATTGTCCTTTCTAATTATATCCCGACAATAAATAGACCAAGGCTTTTTTCCCCCTCTCTGGCCTCTCTGGGTGACATCCCGCGTAGGTAGGTACTTGTTGCTAGTAGTAGAACAAGAAATATAATCAAGACCAGGGATTGGAAGCGATATGCACAAATGAAATCCATTGGGTACTAATACATCCTTAAAATCCAAATACAAGCCATATACACAAGCAGGCGAGAGGGTAATAAAAACATGGCAATCAACTTCCAACACGAAAAGGGACGTCAATATCCATCAAGTAGAGTACTAGTATATTACTCAAACGCATTAGGAAGAAGACGAAGACTTGCTTCCATGTCGCGGGTGGGCGACCTTCTTCAATCCTTCCTTCACCTTGGACATGGTGCTATGCTTGCCATTACCATTACCATCACCACTGGAGGCTTTACTTGGGCTCTTAGCGGAAGCGTCACTCTTTGCAGATTTAGAGCTGGGTGGGGACTCGGACTCGGCTGGATATCCACATTAGCACCAGTTAGGAACGGCAATGAGTAGGGTTCATATAAGATAGTTTATTTTGCTTACCTGGCTTGGCCTCCTTGGCGGCGGGCTTCTTTCCCTTGGCTTCGTCCTCGAATTCCGACGCGGGGTGGGGTGCAGGACCTTGTGGTCCCTCTAGCGCTTCCTTGCTCACGCCCTGCTTCGCCGATGTTGAGGTATCGGAATTGCCGCTGCCGCTGCCGCTGCTTCCTGCCGCTGTGTTTTCTGTGGGATCGGATTTCTCGGTACTTTCTGTGCTGCGCTGCTCTGTTGCCCCGGTTTGGGTCGGGGTCTGCGCATTGCTGCTCGGTGTTTCGGTGGGCTTGGGAAGAGTAACAGCGGTAGTGCTATTGATATCAGGCACGTCGGTGCCTGTGGCATCTGTCTTTGCATCCAGCGTTTGCGGCTTATAGTCTAGCTTAGGCTCTTGGGCCAATGGATCGACCTCTGTGGCAGGGGCTGAGGGTTGTTCTGATGAGGCATTTATTAGTTGGAGGTGTTCTGGCAACAAATGGTGTGACAGGTGTGGATATGCTCGATTTCCAGCCGTTCGCTTGTACAGATCCAAGGGCAGCGAGGGGGTGGTTTGGAAATTCCAAGTAATAGGTATAACTGTGTGCCTCTAGAGGTACAGCTGATTATCACGTACCATCACGATTTCCCGCATCATAAGGGTCATTGGCAGCACCTTTGCCCTGCACGCCTGAGATAGGCTCTTCGCCGTGTGGCTGGGTCGACTGGTTGCTATTGCCCTCGCCCCATATAGCGGTCGAAGCTGCGTGGACGGCCTTGGTGACGGTTTCCATTCTTGTTGGTGTTGGTGATAAGGTGATATGGTGCAGCTATAGACGGTCGGTGAAGAGGTGTGTGACACACGAAAGAAACTTGATGTTCGAGTAGGTGTAGTCGATGAGATCGATTCCGGGGAATATGGAAGTTAAAATAGAAATTGAATGGGAGGGGAAGAGGGAGACCCAAGGATCGGTCAATCAGGTCAATACGTCAGGTATCACTGTTTGGTAGAATGTACTCTGAAAGAAAGCTGTCTCCTCCGTGGATGGTCGCAAGCTCTTAAGGGGAGACCCATGTTGTTAGTTACGTCAGTGGAGACTAGGAAACAGCTGGCGACAGCAATCTTGTGTAGCATTGGCCCAGGCGCACCTCGTGGGCTGCCACTAAAGCCATTCGATCCATCGCAACACGAAAGATCGTGCTGATCTCCATGTCATCATATGATGTCATGTCACGTGTACACTATAGCATGGGTGGGGGCTGCAATTAAAGAAAGGATGAGTGGCTGGGGTATAATTCTGAAATAGAGTAGGCTACTGGAGCTAACTGCTTTATTTAGTTAATTCACTCTCCCTTATTGGCTCCGGTTGCGTGGCGGTGCTCTTATCTTCCCCATTCCTTGGGCTGAGGGGGTGTTCCGGATCATACCCAATGCCCTTCACAATGCCAAGTCCTTTGGTTTTCCCTTCACGGAATAACACTCGGTCGCCCGGCGCAAGAAACTCAGGGCGCTGCATGAAACGAAATGCAACAAGGGCCCGGTCTCCGGTTCGAATGAAGGGGCGGTCAATGTCAATCACTGAGCAGGTTTGGCTGACCGCTCCAACATGCAGCATGGCTTGGTACTTGGGTTTGATGGTGGTGGCGTGTGACAAAATTAGCACTGCATGGGTGGCCGGATTAGTCAAATGGGCAATGATAGATAGATATATCATAGCAATGGAGAGGAAGACTTACCTTCTGCAGTAAATTCACGGTAAACCTTGGGAGGATCCTCCGACTTCTTCAGCACAACCATTCCTTTACGCACTTCCTTTCGACGCACACGCTTAAGCGCGAAGGATCCAGACTGCCCAGCAAAGCAAGCGTTCACCTGTATTCGCTTGCGCTCAATAGTCTTAATCGTAGTGGTGGTGAACTGACCCAGCGAGTCGGGACCAACCACCACCTGGTCACCCGCATGGATCACCCCGGATTTGACGACCCCAGAGACGACTGTTCCCACGTGCGGCACGGAGAAAGTATCATTAATGAGGAATTCAAATGGACCATCCGAGTTGTAATTTCCCCGATGGGGAGAATGTTCAGGAACGTTCGGACCAGGTCCAGATTCATGCCAGTAACATTCGATACCTGGAAAATAGGACATATACGCTGACTGACGAATTGATGTGCGGTATTGATGGTCTCTTCCATGTCCTTAACAAAGATCGGGATCTTCCGCGCACCAGGCGACTTGAGAATCTTCGCGAGCTGAGACAGGGTCTCCTGGAGAATCTGTGGCGGGCAAATGTCAATTTTCGTGACGATCACCATAACGGGGACATTGAGAGCCAGCGCAATGCCCAGGTGTTCACGACTCATTCCAATCAGGCCATTGTTGGCAGCAACCATTAATAGACAGTAATTGGGGCTGCTGCTCAGCATGCCGAAGACGGTAGTGCGAAGGTATCTCTCATGGCCAGCCAAGTCGGAGAAAGAAATCACCTTGGCCGAGCGTTTTCCAATTTCTTCCCAGGAGAGCTTTCGACCTTGCGAGTTACTGACAATTTCACCCCGACTGTCGAACCCCATAATCTCCAATCCCACGGAGCTGGTCCGGCCGCTTTCAATTTCATGCTTGTGGCGGAAAAGGTTGACTCGAGCACGACCTCGACCGTCATCGAGACTGCCTTTTACAAGTACACCAAGCATAGTACTCTTACCGGCGTCAACATTGCCGACCACAGCGATGCGGATTTCTGCCATCTCCTCGATATTAGGAAAATCCTGGCGGATGAGGACTTTTCCCCAAGCCCCCTTGACACGTTCATTCATCACTGGAGATTCCTCGGGGCCGCCAACATTGTAGGTAAGAAGTATCCTACAGTGTGCGGGGATGGTTTCCGCCGCCTCGCGTAGGCGTTGGAGTGCAATCTCCCACTGAGGGAGGTCGAAGCCCATTGAATCACCGCCGTCTTCAAGGCCGAGGTCGAAGAGAGTCTCTCCCTGGCCCACATCAACGCGAGTCTGTATCGTACTAGCCAAATCTTGTATACTGTCTTCGGTGGCGTCTCCGGTCCCAAGTAGGAGTTCCTTGAGCTTGATGGCGCGCGGGGTATCGGTCAAGCCGAGCTGGTCCAAGATCTCCAGCTCGGCATGGTCTTCGAGGTCGCGCGACACGCTGGCAGTACCAGTAGAATAGCCGCTATCGCTTGGAGCAACAATCGCGGAACGGTGAGCTTGCTGCTTTTCGGCATACTCGGCGAACTCGCTGAGAGCCTGTAAAATGATGTGAGTAAACGGCCGCCCGTATTATAATGCCGGAAAGGCATAGATCGTACAATCTCGCCTCGTTTCCGTTCCTCCGGGTTCAAGGGTCTGGAGCCCTTTGTAGTCATGTTTGTGGCTGCAGTTATAGTTGTGAGTGTTTCAAGCGTCGAATGACGGTAGATCGCTTCAATTGGGGGGATCGGTGACGTTGCGGTCGGATGGGGGTGGATCGCCGAGAGCTCAGGCGTATTCAGACGTATATTCGGGGGATCATCGCTCGGATCTATTCTGAGGTGGAAATTATAGTTGAGTTGGATTGAAGGATGATTTAAAAAGGAGAAAGAAAAAGAGAGAGAGAAAGGAATTGAAATGGGGAGGGGCGCCAGCTTTATCGCGCCGAGTCATAAGGTCCATTCCCCTTTCCCCCTCCAATTCCTTCGGTCGTCGGTTCCCCAGTTGGGATGGCTCTTGTTTGAGTCATCACTTCAGCCTCCACAGTCAGATGTGCCGCTGAGCCACGGATGACTCGATCATGCCCAGGTTTTGGAAACAAATAGAACTGAGAAGCACAGATGTGACACATAAACAGTGGGGAACTACAAGAAGTCCAGCCTTGCGGCTCTGCTGAGGGTCTGCTACTCGTACGTGCTTGGGGCTCTCTACATTCAACCATCAAACAGAAAGGGAAATTTCATGGGCGCGTATCTATACGACTGGATTGTATGCGGATGGTATCTCGTTTTTGGTTCCTCCCAATGGTCTCGCCAGACGCCTTTTTCCTCTATCAATTCGTGTCGATGGGGCTTGGTTGTTTAAGCCTGGGGAGAGATCAAAACGACGGAATCACCTGAGAAGGGAAGGGTTAGTGCATGGGGAGGAGGGGAGGGACAAAGTAGGTGGCTGTTCCTGACTCACCTCGGACGAACAGCATCTCTTCTTGCTTCTTGATTGTCTGTAAACCCCCACGGACCTCGAGTTAGCGTTTCTAGTGCTTCCGCATAGTGTAGGTCGACCTACCCTTGTGGTTTCCTCTTCATTATCATCTTCCTCCACCACGTAGATGGTCTCTTCCACATCACCCAGAACTAAGTTGCAGTGGCTGTCATATGCCTATAGGAAGTCATTGGGGTCAGTCGTCACGTTCGACGTTCTCGTCTGGTGGGATTGAACTCACGTGGAGGCGGCCTTTCAGCTCGCGGTCGCCGCGCAGCTTCACGAAAACAATCTCATCGAGAGAGAGACGAACAAGATCGAGGGGCTCAGAAGGCGCACCTGTATCTTCGTTGTCGGCCATGGTGGAATTGCGGACTTGAGGAGTAAAGTTGGAGTCGAGGGGCACACAGCTGGAGCCGCCGAAGAATCTCCCGAGCTCACTGCCAAGACCAAGAGTTCCATATCGGGACTAGTCTGTTGAATGATGACTCAGCGGTGGTTTACCCCAGACTTTTGCACATTTTCGACACCTCGACACCTGAACCGTCGTAAATAACACTTTCCCCCATACTCCACGGTGGACTGTTTGAGTGGGTGGGCCATTGAGGTCCGTGAGTAAAGCCAGCCACATACAGTAAAGGCCAAAGGTCACAGGTCATAGGTCACTGCTACCTTGCCGTGCAGGTCTCGCCCGCATTCGACCGCGTAACACAATGCAGGAGCACAAGTACCCTGTACTCTCTCCATTCCTCATTCACCCAGTCGCATGTCGCATGTCTGCAGACCGGGGTCGATGCGCCAATGCGCACCCCCTCTTCTCTTTGTCCCCCTTCTGCCTCTTCTCCTCACCTGACCTTCTCTTCCTCCTTCATTCCATTCTGTTTTGGTTTCCCTCATGAAAAGAATTGTTTCTACTCGGGAGAGGCTGTCCTCGGCCTGGCTTAATCGCCCACGATGGAGCTCTATAGAGTCAATTACACTCTACGCGACCCATGGATCCTCCGTCCTCCGTCACCCCGGGCACTCGCGACATATATCCTCCCAACGCGTATCCAGAGCTCAGCATTGGAGGGCGGGAATCCCACCAGACCACGCTCTATCTGACCAAAAGCTCAAGTACGATGATGGCACCGCCCAGGCGTCCACCAACGGTGCACTGGCCGTCCCCCAGATGAATTACGAAGAAGAGCATGCATCTCCAGCCTTTTATTCTCCGCAGGAAGAGGCAGAATATACCGCGAGGTTCTATCGCATTGTGGAGGAGGGACAACCCGACTGTTTGATGACAGCAATGACAGACCCACGGTCGGCGGGGCTGGTTGGGTCGCTACCCCAGACAACCTTCCTCGAGGCGCTCCACCGACTCTCCCCGGCCCATTTTGTGGAGCCCTTCCGCGACCTCCACCACCCGTTACATACTTGGACGACCCTCCTCGAAGGCCTCAAGCGACTTGAAGTGCATTTTGATGACTTTACGACCAATTTGCTCACAATTGTCGGTTACCGAGCTCCCGTGCAGCCCTTGCAGCTGGCAGAGTACACCCACCTTTTAGACTGTGCTCGGTCAATGGGGAATGCGCCTTTTGCGAAAGAAATCTGGGAGTCAATGCAGAGGCGGGAAGTCGCCCCAAATACAGCATGTTACAACCACTACATGGAGGCACTGGTCTGGGACCACTGCTACAGTGGAGCTGAAGCATATAACCTCCGAGTCACTCCGCACTCTTATCGTAAACGTCGCAAGGGGACCGCCAGCTCAGTTGGATGGCGAGGTTTTGGCACCGGGAATCCAAATAGTGTTCGCTACGCTATTCTGGAAATCTTTCAGACCATGCTACGAGAAGGACACTTGCCGGATGAGCGCACCTACATCAACATTCTTATTGCAGGCGCCCGGGTCGGTCACAACAAAGGGATGCGTCTTGTTCTCAAAACAGTATGGAATATCGACATGAAGGCAATCAGAGCCGAAGGAGACTCGTCAAAGTTACCACCTCTCACCCCGTACGACCCATGGTCCGCACTGTATCCGACTGAGAATCTTCTCTTTGCGATCGCCCACGCTTTCGGCACCAACAACGATATCCCTAGTGCGATACGGGTCATACAACATATCTCGTCCACCTACAATGTTCCAATCACAGAAAAAGTGTGGACAGAGCTTCTGAAGCGCGCATATATCTTGTGCAGAGCAAAGATGAAAGATAACGACTCCGAAAATGCCAAATTTGCAGGCACAGTTGGGCGCGTACCTATGGATCTGGTTCAGTCTCTGTTCGGCGTCCTAACCTCCGCGCCATACAACTTCACCCCGAGTCTTCAGTCGTGTCGATACATGTTGAACATCAGCATGCACAATGGTAATCTGGAAGAATGCAAGATGATCCTTCGGGGCTCGTACAAGGTCTTACAGGAGGCGAGGAAAAAGCAAGCAGAGGCCCGAAAGGCCGTGTTGAGACTTTTGCTGCCACTGATGGAAGCTGCTGAAGAACGAGTAACTTTTGGTCATCCCATTGAGGAGGACTTCTTTGCGTGTCCTACGCTCGCCGATGCGATTCAGGCCTACGATCTTCTTCGGCTAGAAGAATTCCAAAAGGCTTACCAGCTCAGGCGTTGCTGTTGGTCGGTATTAAAGGCCAAGGGCTGGAATGACACCCCAGACCACGTATGGCGAACACAGGAGATACCGAAGATTCTGGAAGAATGGGAAGATTTTCTACCAGACACGAAGAATGTCAATCTGGGCGAAGATTCCGGGATATTCACTATTGAAGGCAAAACGAGGTTAAGTTCACGCAACTGGAATCACGATTCTCGGAGAATCCCGGTACGACGACTAGCCAACAAGACGAAGCTGTTCGTTCCAGCGGAGCCACGTCGCCTAGCGGAGAATACGATCTGGTTCCATGTTCGCCAGCTGTATCCCTCTTCCGATAGAAAATCGGACTATCTCAAGAGGCTCTTCTGGTGGCAGGTGCCTCGAGATCCCGAGTTACAGGAGACTATCACCACGCTACGCAATACTTGGACTGAATACCCCGATGACTCACCTTGGGGTCCTAAGAACCGCCCTGCCGCCGGTTTCTATGGTCGTCTTGCAGCGTTAGGTATGCTGAAGACTGAATCACGGGGCATTTACTATCTCAGCGAAGGGAGCTTGGTTTGAGCATCCAACTGTCCTCGTGGCCTTGTGCCTCTGTTCTACTAGCGTCGATACCCTATTGTTCCAACCATCAAATGAAGATTAGCTTGGAGTGTAAACCACAAAATCAAACCTAAGATTCTATCCGAAGTTTCATTCATGCCTTCCGTGTCGGGTTATATTCATTAAATTTTGACTTATATTCGAGTAGTAGTCACTAAAGTAACATAACATTTTGTACAAATCTTCCGGGATCTCACCAGTGGAAGAGGATTGTCGTCTTCTTTGCTCAAGAAAAATCGAGAAATATCGAGGTTAAAGTGATGCAGAGGATGTGAGCAACGGAGAACGATTTCGATCCTCATCCCAGGTTTGTTCAGGACCATCCCAGAGAATCATTCAAGCATGTGACATACAAGGCCCGTACAATGTAGGTGGAGGTATAAAACACAACACACAGTCAGGAAAGAGAGTCTGCAGCAAAGGACAGCTAACCAATCCAAGCTAGACCTTCTCGCGCTGCAAGTCGTTGACAGTCATATATCGACCAATAGTAATCCAGCCCCAGCGGAACCAAACCATCTGGCTCTTATGACCCTTCACCATAGCCGACTGCGCCGTCATCCATTCCCCAATAGAGCTCACAAAGAGCAATCGCTTCGGTCCGACCGCCGAACCTTTTCTCTTCGACCCAAAAGAAGAGAAAATATTACTCAGGGCGCCCTGGACCATCGTCACCGGCGCATCAAGCACACCAGCATACTTTCGAATCATGGGAAGCGAGGTAAGTGTATAAAGCGTAACAGGCGACGCAAAGCCTTCCTTACCCTTCATCAGGGTCTGGATGAAGTTCACCGCGCCGTGGTAGAGCGAGCGGTGGTTGGGGTGGTTGCTGACGCCGTGACGGTCGAAGGTGAGGAGGATGTCGATGGTGGCTGTGGGCGCTTTCTTGGGATTCTTCTTCATGGTGCCGTTTAGGGTCGCTGCTAGGTCGGGTGAGAATGCGGAGGCTAGGAGGGAGGTTACGTCGTCTTCGGCCCAGTTCGCGCTCATGCTATCGGGGAATCGGGCCGGGTCGTCGACGACGAAAACATCTGCTGGATCGCGGACGCCGAGTTGGAGGGCGGATTTCTTGAGTTCCTCTTTGCGAACGTCGCCGAGGCCATCTGCGTCGCCTATAAGGTGAAGGTCCAGGTCAGTATTTATTTCCTAGGTGCTAGCCTTGAAATGTGGAGAGGGGGAACGGTTCGTACCGGTGCTGAAGCACAGGATCTTCAGGTGGTTCCCTAACTCTGGCTTGGTGAGGGCCAACACCGCCGGCGCAAAGAACATGGCTTCGTCATCGGGATGCGCGATGAGCAGACAGATCCGCTTGTTTTGTAGTCGTGGGAAGGACCGCATGAATGGGGAGGAGCTTGTGGATGAGAGGGTCCAGAAAAGGAAGACCGCGGCAATGCCAACTGCAATTGCGGGCCAATTGAAAGAAGGCGCCATGTCGGCTTGCGGTGTAAAGAGGCGGAGGATCGAATTGGTCGACAGTCGAGAGCGCTGGTCTCTTCTCTGTCGCTGCTCTCAGCTTCGCGTCAAGGCCCGGGATGTCGTAACGATTCTGAGGCCTGGCGAAGGCAATGCAACCGTATATGGGAGAGGAGGATCGTGGAGTTGCGGATCAAGACCTGCAAAAAGTCAAGAGCTTTGATAGTGGGAATGCGCAGCGGACATCCCTCCCCCTCGGTGGGCTCGATTTGAAGCAAGCTCGACAGCGGGGCGAATGCTTTAATTGCGGAGGTGCCGGTTAGTTCAGTTGAGGGTTCAGTAAAACAGACGACAGCGAGCCCATGGCTTGAAGCTGGATCTAGCGGCAAATCACTCCATTCAGGAAAGAGAACACGGTGGCAGAACTGGTCCGGAATAGGGGGGGGGACACAGCTCTGGCGTCCATCACGCTGGCGATCCCCCGGAGTTGGTCACGTGTCAGGGGTTCATGCATGCAAATCGGGGAAGCAATGTGATTGTCGATTTTAGCTACCACCGGGAATCCGACACGGGCAGATCTGCATGCTAAATCCGAGTCTTCTCGTCGTCTTGTAAGTCATGGCTTGGCTTGTGGCCAAGCAGCTCCTGATAACGAGCGGGGCTTCCGGCACAATGATTTCCGTGATCTGCATGCCGAGCAGTGGCGGCTCATATATAAATCTGTGCGGTTTGGCCATGACTGACTTCAGGTTCAACGACTTGACTCATGCATGATTCACATAAACCTCAGTCGTTGGAAATGCCATGATTACTTCAAGTTGTGATCCATGCTAGACTTGGGGATCCTAAGGTGCTACTCCTGTGTACGACTATCGTCTGTCATTTTTCACTGGGCATCCTTTAAGGTCGATGTATTCTGTGCGGCCTCTACTTCCCTAGATAATGACCGCGGTGGAAACCTAGGATAGACTTAAGGTTCTGACCTCTTGTACCCTTAGAATCTTGAAATCTTATCAATCATGATCATCGCTGCCCAAGTGTCACCGGGAAAACCCAGATGACACACTACATACTCGTACGTAGTAGCAGATCATGTTGCGGTACATTACATAAATAGTAACCATCCAAAACATCAGATGTCTCGGGATGATCCATCTCAGCTGCAAAATCCTCACACACCCGGTCTAGACTCGATGAGTGAATTAAGACTGCAGCAAATTCCAGCACCGCTCTGCAGTATGGAGTAGAGATCTACTATTTTACATCTAGTGTAATAAAAACAAAAGAGAAACTTGGATATAAAAAAACCTGAAACCTTAAAAGCAAAAGAATATTCCGCCGACTAGTCATCGGAACCCCACCGACGACCGGCAACTCGTAAAAACCCCAATTCGGCCCGGTCTTTGACTCCAACGCCCGTACCTAGAGGTATTGGCGACTTTCCCGACGGATAGTCGCGACATACCGGGGACCCGCCTTATGGAGTTCCCTTGGTTCGAGGTGGATGGGCGGTCAACACCCACCCGCGTGGGTATAGAACTACAAAAAGATCAAGGGGGAAAGAATAAAGAGAATAAATAGAAGGAAATATAAAAAAGGGTGGATATACAAAGAGGAAGTTGGAGCGATTGGTAAGCAATTTGATTTCAAAGTTTTTTGTCCTCTCGTTTTCTCCTCGATCAAAGAGTCAAAGACCGATCAACCACTGGCGTTGAGTCAGAGCATCACGTTGCGCCGGGCCGAGTCGAGAGGCTTTGATGGTGGAGAGGGCAGAAAATTTCTGCGGGACCGCTTTGGCGGGGCGGGAGTTTTCCGTCGCAAAACAATGGTGCCATCGGCCATTAAGCAGATTTAGTAGGATTAGTAGGATTAGTGTGAGGGCTAAGGCTAAGGCTAGGACTGAGTCTGAGGCTGAGGTCAAGACCAAAGAAACAGGGCAATTAGGAAAAAGATGAGACAAATGGCGTGTTGGATGAGTCGGTATGTAGTAATAGTTTCAAAGCATGGTGAAAATGGGGCATTGGAAAAGGAAAAAAAGGCGCAACCAGTGATGCCAAAGTACGAATATTATTGTAAAGGACCTTGGGCAAGAACTAGTATAGCCAACAAGGCCCTCACGCGGTTGCTCCTCATCTCCTCCTGCCTTCCTCCTCGGAGATGGGGCCCGAGATCGTCCCGAAACAGGAAGTTGGCTGGAAGGCGCCGACCATTTTGATCGTCACGGCATGCCATGGGATGTGATTGGTCGGAGACTCCGATGGAGATTCGCGGTGATTCACACTACCCGACACATTAGAGATGCCGTGCTCAGATGATGGGTTGTGATATGATGTGATGCTGCTGGTGGTGGTTCTCTGGCGGCCTCCTTGAACCGGCTACTCGACGCGGTGGGTGGTGGGGACTAGATTGGATGGGGATCGACAAGCGGCCTTGAAAGGCGTAAGCCAAGGAGGGGGCCACGCGGGCGACGCCGCCAGTGGATGTGGTGTTTTAACTCGAAGAGCATCTCTGGGCAAGCTTGAGATGTGGTCATGGCGTGATCGGAGTTGCTTGTACAACACAGAAAACGTGCAACAGTCAGAACATCGTGTCATTATCACCGGAAGCTAACATTGGTCTCCGAGGGTGCGGGTTTCCGAGGGGAAACCAGTCAGGCCAACGCCTGAGCTCGGACTCGGACTTTCTTCAGGGCTTGATCCCATGCAGCGATGCATATGAGCATGGACGTCGGACTGTGAGCGTCACTGCAAGTCAGAAAGGTTGTACCTGATACATGTTGGCCCATGCGCCGCGGACAGGATGGGGTGTCCAGGTCAAGGACGATCGAGAATACTGTTAGGTAATTAGTGCGGGCAGGCGAATTGATGATTCGCCCAATACCGCCTGGGGCCAAGCGGATTGACAGCTGCGGGCTAGGCCATGGTGATCTCGATCTTGAAGCTTTTGAGATCCCTTTTCGGACCCATCTGTTACTGTCTTCTGATGCTGTACCACCACCGCTGTTGCTCCCCCAGTGCAATTGCGCATGGCTTTTCCCATGTGAATACCATGCAAGCGAGAACTCTGCGCCCCGCAAATTGCGCCATGCGGGGTTATAGATCGGTGAGGCTAACCTCGAAATGGGCAATCGGCTGGACGAAGCCGGCGCAAAAGAAAAATTCGAAGAAGTGGGTCCTTCCAGGGTCTGTTCTTTTTTTTTTCTTTGCCTTTTTCTCTTTGCCTCACACGCGTTTTCTTCTCCAAAAGCGGTCAAGCGGGAGGACCGAAACGATCTGCCACTAACTGAAAGCCGCTGAAATGTATTGTCAGATGCCCGTATTGGGTTCACTGCTTCAAGGGTACTCGTACTGTGTAAAATACACTGCCTTCTCTCTGTACTCAGGAAAGTACAATGTACGGAGTAGTTCCTCAATATTTAGATTTGGTTCTTCTGGTTCTTGCTGGTGGGCCACGTGATGCGGGCACCTGACCGAACAACACATACTTTAAGCCTACAGGCTTAAAGTACATAGTAATGAGTTATATGCTATGTAAGTCTCCTACGTAACCCGTAGCCTTAGGCTGAGGTGTTCTGGCGGCTTCTCCTAACGCCTCCCGACCTATTTTCAGCATATTTGTCTCGGCACCGGTCGCCGCTCAAGACTGTCTTGCAAGGTGGCACCTGTAGACAGTAGATTGACTATTTATTGACTGTATTTTGTAAACAACTCAGGCCATCACTCATCGGCACCAGGATCCGGGGGAGGGGAATTAGAATGGGGAAAACCATGCTCAGGTGATCGGACATCGCTCCGTGGCTTGCTAATCATCCGGGGTTGCGATGCAGCAACTTTCTCCCTCCCCTCTCTTCTCTGCCCTCTCGAAGCCGATTAGGAATACCCCGCCGCACCGAGAGGCACATGCGCTGGGCCGAGTAGAGACGATCCCAACCCCGAACAACCGGGGTGCGTAGCCGACCGTGAGTCATTGTCAAATCCTGGCGCACGGTCGCAACCAAAGGTGCAACCCAGTCCAGAGCTGGCGGCATCAGCTGGCCTCGTTAGAATGCCTAAATGGGGGCTAGCTGTTCTGATCGCAAGATGATGCCCACACCCTGAGATGTGGGGTATCAACCAACCGTGTTGCTCTAAAATTGTAGTCAGGCGATCCCCGGTCGGCTTATGAGTCGAGATGCTTCGATGGGGATGGATGGTGGTAGTGGTTTTCGGCACCGAACCGAATCGCCGAGAAGGAGGGGAAATGAGGTGAGAAGGACAGGGTTGAGGTGAGGTGAGGTGGTCAATGGTGCAAGAGCTGATATCGCAAGTGTAGGGTATGCAAGGCCAGTGAGTGAGTACTAACTATAGAGTGCTGTGCTGTGTGCTGTGTGTGTATACAGTACAGTAACTGCTCTGTAACTGGACTGTAACTGGACTGTCACAACGGCGTCTCGTCCGGTACAGACCCACTGAATGACGATGTTCTTTGCCCCACTAGTCCTTTCGGTCTTTTTTTCTTCTTTTTTTTGTCATTCATTTTTCCGCTTTTACTATTTTTTACTATTTTTCAGGTGGCCAGACTTCAATGCAACGAATGACACGCCGGTACCTGGCCGGCCGCATGGTGGAAATAAGTGGGAACCAGAAAATTTAGATCAAAATTTCTTGAGCTTTTCCACGGATTCGGTGGATTTTAGACTCAGTGCACATGATCGTGCTCGGAATTCAAAAGCAGACATCCTCCCGCCGCATCGTGACTCTTTGGTTCTGTTTCTGTCATTGAATCTTTTCTCCAGATTATGTTGCTGGTTTTGACGTTTGCTCCTCCACTCGACCATCACCGCACTGCTTCCTAAGACTCATTCAGGGATCTATACTGCTACACTTCTACTACTCCCACCCCCACTATTACTATACTACATCATCTCTCTCCCAAACATCAACCAACGATGCCGGGCCGACTGATCCCCAACTTTGTTCGGGGCTCTGGCTCCCTGCACTCCTCGGTCTCTTCGACCCCAATTCACTCCAATGCCTCCTCAACTACCTCCGTCAATGAAATCATCACCCATGCCACCGGCCCCAAGAAGCCCTTCTCCGGTCATGGCACCCCAGACCGTGCTCGTTCCCCCGAACGCCGCCTGTCCTTCTCCATGGACCACCTCATTCACCCCCACCGTGATCATAGCAAGGACAAGGAGAAGCGCAAGAGTCTCGCTCGCGCCGGACGATCCAAGGAGCGCCTCACTCGCGAGGAACTCGCCGTGCCCCCTGTCAAGCTTGATGTTCTCGTGGAATCTCCCCCGCTTGTCTGCTACGGCAACCCCTCCAACTCCACCGGTGCCTTGTTCTCTGGCCGCCTGCGTGTGAATGTCACTGAGCTGGCCGGCGAGGTCATCCTCAATCACTTCGATGTCCGCCTGGTTTCCAGAACCACCACCAAGAAGCCCGTCTCCAGCCACTGCCCCAACTGCCAGACCCGCACCGAAGAACTCACCCGTTGGAACTTCCTCACAGAGTCTCTCCACCTGAAGCGTGGCCAACACGACTTCCCTTTCAGCTACCTCTTCCCTGGTCACCTCCCGGCCACTTGCAATGGCGCCCTCGGACAGGTCGAGTACTTCCTGCTGGCACAGGCCCAGAGCATTGTGGGCGAGGAGTTCACCCTGAAGATGCCTCTCAATCTGCGCCGTGCTATCCTCCCCGGCAACGACAAGTCCTCCATCCGCATCTTCCCTCCCACCAACCTGACTGGCCGCATCGTTCTCCCCTCCGTCGTTCACCCCATCGGCAACTTCCCTGTCGAGATGACCCTGAGCGGTGTCGTGGACAAGGGCGACGAAACACAGACTCGCTGGCGTCTGCGCAAGATGATGTGGCGCATTGAGGAACACCAGAAGATTGTCTCCACTGCCTGCCAGAAGCACTCCCACAAGATCGGTGGTGAAGGCAAGGGTGTCCTCCACCAAGAAACCCGCATCATTGGCCACAACGAGGAGAAGACCGGCTGGAAGACCGATTTCGATACTGCTGGCGGTGAAATCTCCATGCAATTCGATGCCAGCATCAACCCAACTACCAACCCCGTTTGCGATATGGAGGCTCCTGCTGGCCTCGAGGTTAAGCACAACTTGGTTATTGAGTTGATCGTCGCTGAGGAGTTCTGCCCTAACCGCAACACCCGACTTATCACCCCAACTGGCGCAGCCCGTGTGCTGCGTATGCAATTCAACCTCAATGTCACTGAGCGCAGTGGTCTCGGCATCAGCTGGGACGAGGAAATGCCTCCCGTCTATGAGGATGTTCCCGCCAGCCCTCCTGCCTACCCCAAGGCCGATGATGCTCGCAGCGTTATGGAGGACTATGTTGGCTCCCCACTTCCACTGCCCGAGTACGAGGATTTGGAGCGCATGGAATCTCTGCGCTTGGATAGTGACTCAACTCACTCCTCCAACCAATCCATTCCTTCTATTCGCGGCCGCAGGGGTTTCACTGCCGACGACCTGTTCACCGAACAAACACCTCCCCCCTCCGAGCCTGTCTCTCGGGTCGCCTCTCGCGCTCCGTCGGTCGATTCTACCCGCCAATAAACCATCGCAATCCTGCCTTTCATCTTATCTTTTTTATTTTATTTTTCTTTACTTCTACGCAACGACGTCACGATCTCAACGACACAAAAAAGATTCCCCAAATACAGTCTACTATTCTCCTTGTCTCAACCCATTTACGATAATCCTCCTCAAGGAGGATGGCTCATGAACCTTTCTCATTTCCATCGGTTACTCCAGCGGCGTTGATGATTTCCTTCAACGGAAAAGACGAAATGGCCTCTCTGGGCAAAAAAAAAAAAGAAGAAACAACTGGCTCTTTGCATGATTCTTTACTTTCGGACGGACGATTATTCGATCCACTTTTTGCATTATACCCAAAGTGACAAGAATTGTTTCCTTTCTTTCACACACATCACATTCTCCCTTTGTTAGACATGCTGCCATCCATAGATGGTTGGCTTTTATTTCTCTTCTTACTCTAATAATGACGACGAGCTTCTCTACTCAAACTATCTAATACATTGACTAAATACGTCCCCACTTCCATCATCGTAAGCAGCTGTATTCGTCAATCCCTAAATTCAATCCGATGCATATGCCCGATGTAGCCCTGATGCCGAAAATTAACCCCATACAAATCTCCGATTGCCCCCTTTTTCCCCTCAGACCCCTACAGCCCCACTACCAAGCTACTAGCCTGAATCCTAGCGATCGCCGCATTATGCGGCTAGATAATTAGGCGGTGGCCTGATCACACATCACGGTCTGTGCCCGCCCTTTTTGCCCGGGTTTACTTGACAAATTCGGAACGCCGGTCCAAACGGCATGTCCTCCCGGGCGAGTCCGTCCCTCAATTCTAGAATCAAGTACGGAGTAGCGGTCTACTTTTCCATCTACATTTGTCATAGTTTTACTTCATGTTGTGTCTTTGCTGCTCACTTGGGCTTGCGCATCAGATGCCCCCATCAGATCGAGTCGTAAGATGTCTGCCAGGAGCGGAATTGTTTCCAAGTTACTTCGGAAGGTGGACGCGATGACCAACTTGCTGAAAAGTCGGACTAATTTCCTGCAATATCGAAATTGGATCTGGTTTTCTGGTCGTCTAGTAGGTAGGTCTCGGTTGAATTTGGACTTGTTTTGGGACCTTATGCTAGGGTAACATGCCAATAGTTAGCGATACCTTGACTTTAGTCTGGTGACATTGAAGTTTCATTCTTGTACGTAGTATCTTTTAAGATAGAAATCAATGAATTAGATAACTTCCTCGTGACAAAAGATATCTAGATATCCAGGAGAACAGCCAAAAAGAATTCATACATAGGCCGGGCAATTGTCCAACTTTATCAATGTGAAAATAGAGCTGCTACAACCCAATCTACAAGAGCGTGATTCAAACCCAGAGCGGTAGAATGGATGGACGTTGAAGCTTGCATGTACATTCTGTAAATCACCGCTATAAATTATGACAATATGATATTAATTAAACAAGACGTGAATGTTTCGCTCTTTCTTCCACGGTGCCCAAACTTGTTCACAGCTCAACTTCATCGATGTCGTAGACCAAGTGCTTCTGTTTAAAGCCGAGTCGCTCTACCCCCAGAGCCCATGACATATTTAGAGCAATCGAAGCAACCGATTCCTTGAGCCACAAGCCCCAGGGCCCCGTCCTCTTCCGTGATTTCCCATTATCGGCCGCCATATCGAAGATCTCATTGATTCTTGGACGGCGAATTTCGTCATACCTCTCCCGCACCTGGTCTAAGGGTCGAAAATGGTCTTTCAGCAAGCGCGTTAGAAGAAATACATCCTCCAGAGCCATTGAAACACCCTGCCCAGCATGCGGTGACATCGCATGAGCGGCATCACCGACAAGGATACACCGGCCCTTGGAATAAGTGCCACCAGGAGGAAGGCGATGGATGGGATAAAACTTGACAACAGAAGTCTTGCTGATAATCTCCCTCAGAGAATCTCCCCATTCACCTTGGGCCTTTTCCAGGATCTTAAGAAGAGGCGCCTTGAACCCTTCCACCTCATCTTTGCCCTGTACTTCCCACCCATCCCGATCTCCCGAGGCAGGAATGGGGACTTCCTTGGTGAAGAACCAGTACAAGTCACCCGTAGACTGCGTACACCTCGTGGCAGCAATCATTCCTTCCTCGGTCATTGTAACCTCAAGCCCTAATGTCTGTGCCCTTGTTTCAGGGCTTAGATCCGAATCCGCAATGACCGATCCCAGACCGGAAAGGCCAGAATATTCAGAAGTCTGAGCAGGATCAACCCAGGAACGTCGAATAAACGAGTGGATCCCATCACATCCAAGTAACATATCCGCCGTATCAGTCGAGCCATCTTTGAAAGTGACAGTCACGCCGTCAGCACCATCATCGATCTGAGTGACCCTCTTATCGAAACGGATATCAATTCCAGCCTCATTAACTGACTCAAGGAGGACGTCCACGAGATCAGTCCGTTTGATACGCACATATCCGAAGCCGATTTGTTCACGCGCCCAGCCGACGTGGTCTAGTGAGCCGATGGTACGGCCTTGTAAGGAGTGTAGAGTGATATTGGAGCCACCGAAGCCTCGGGCAAGGACCTTTTCGTAGACGCCAAGACGGGAAAGAAGGCGTAGGCCGTTGGGCTGAATTCCAACTGCACCGCCTAGTGTTGTGGGTTCAGAGCGTAGCTCGTACACGGTGCATTTTATGTCTGTTTGTTGATGCAGGCGTAATGCGGCTGCAAGACCGGCTGGACCGGCCCCGATGATGATCGCCTGGTGGTATCCCATGTTAGACATGGGGAGATATTAAGGCATGGGGAAGGAATAGGTAATACCTTTCGTTGCAGAGCCATATTTTCAGAGGGAAATATTGATAGATTTCTGTCTGGGGTTAGTGAGATCTGGAATGGAATGATGATTCGATTTATACTCTTCTCTCTTCTCAGCCCCGCGGGGGTCCGCGGACGGTAACCTTATTGGGAATGTCTATCTGTGGACCAGCCAGGAAATCACTTCGTCGACGATGATCTTAGGGGGGCTTTGATAGTATTTTCTGGTTTAAATTATGGTGACTATTTTTATCGGAGATGTGATTTGGCCACGAGGCCAGGGTACTGAATTGACCGCCGCGAATTATACTACATTTGGATGTGGCCCCTACGTCGGCCGAGGCTGAGGCTTAGTCTTGCCAGGTGTCAATCGTCATAGCTTATCAGGCTAAGCTCGCAAAACATGCTACATTTCTAGAGGCTGGCTCTAATTAATTACTTAATTCTGCTCTAGCAAATCATGGGACAAAGCGGGTTGACGGCGATATTGTTGATAACTTGGCCATGCAGACTCGGATAGTATATCGTTGGGCTGGAAGGCCAAGCGCATTGAACATCAACTACTAGTATTGCTCAGGCTGTTGGAATCTTGAGCATCATTCAGTGCCAAGAGACTGATTCAAACTTGATTCTACCGTCAGTAAATAACATACTTTGTAAATGGCCATTAAAATGATCATGGTTGTTGTTACTATCGCCCCAGCTGGTTTTAGAAACAGAATGATAGCATAATTCTTTTGGCATGATTGGTGGGACATTGATAGTCTAGTTTTTGTTGCGCCAGTTGTTGGATTCTTGGGCTCTGCTTTCAGAGGAAGAGTTGCTGGGGCGATAGAAGGCTTTTTTATCGCGCCCCGGATGATCCTCTCTCTTCACCGTATGTCTATTCACCAGTTTTTCCGGTACCGAACTTGCGATTGATACCTTCAAATTATCTTCTCCAAAGGGTTGACCATTCAGTGCGTCCTTCGCGTTGGCTGCCTGTTCCCTGGTAGCGAAGTCAATGAAGCAGTAGTGATGGTGGCCCGGTAGAGATCTTTGGTTCTCATGTGGTGTGATTCTTTTGCCAATCGCAGTTCTGGGATATCGGTGAATTAGAATGTCTTGCAGTAAAGGGAGTGAAGCTCTATCACATACGGGCAGAATTCAGCAAACAGTTCGGTCATCTCTGTGTTATGTAAAGCCTGGTTGACCATCATATCCAGCCCGCCGACATATAGTCTTCGTCCCCGAGGTGGTCTACCATATCATCGAAGTGATCCAGTGCCTAGTGAGGACCTTGACCGTTCAGAGCCCGATCCATGTTTCTGGGGTTGCCATTTTGGGAATTCCAGTCACCCCAACGTTTGTTAACGTGGTCATCTTCGCTGGCCCAGCGGGACCTGTTCTGCTTCTTAGGCTGACAGGGACCAACTTTAACAGGTCGCCCGTTGATGGAAGCCTTCAAGTCGGAAAGAGCTCGGTCGGCAGTTTGCCGGTCAAGAAAGTCAACAAAGCAGTATCCCGGGGTTCGCGCGCTGACTGGGTCAATCGAGATGTGAATGTTTTCCAAATGATTGAATCCGTTGTCCCCGAGAAGGGTTTCGATATCATAAGGTTTGGCGTTGTAAGGTAGGTTGCCTTGAGTTATCAGATCTGTCGAAAAAAAGTAAGGCTCATTACTGATGGGAAAAGATGATCGCACCTAGATAGATTCGCCTGTCTGTAGACAAGGTATCTTGTTCGCCATGAGGTTGCTCCTTGACTAGAACTTGGCGAATATGATGATTCGTGTTGAGACTCCGGTATTTCTTGGAGTGGTTCTGTAGATCTCTTCCAGTCAATCCCCGCAAGGACGTGATTTGAAAGGGCTGACAGAAGTCAAACTTTGCCCATTGGATTGTGGACCAAACAAACAAGGGATGCGGGGTGGGTCTAAAGGCCCGGATTCTCATTTGACAACATATCCAACGGCCAGTGGATTTCAAGACTCACCAGTTTGTTAAAACGTTTTTCCTAATCAATCTTCAACCATAAACTCGAATACTAGTATACTCTGATTTGTCCCTTCCGTATACAATGCACGGTTCCGTGAGGATGTTGGGATACTCAGTTTACTTATATAACGTCAGCTCGCCGTCACGACTTAACTGTCCGGGGCTAGTAGTAGGCATGAGGATATCTGTAAGTTGAATATACAGTGATTCAAGTTGTACTTGGTTAAAACCAAAATGGAAGATATTGAGACATGTGGAATGGTGAGAGCTGCAGTCAAACAACTACTAATGCTATAAGGGACGAGAATTCCCAGGTTTCAACACGAGAGAATGAACTGGCAAACCAAACTTAGGGGGTGGCAGCCATTAAGGTAAACATGAGCTACTCTGGGGGTAGGGGGGGATTTTCCCCGGAAGTACATAATTTTAGCCCGATCGTATTACGTGGTTCCAATTCTGACATACCTTGCTAGTAGGATACCGTGTCACTATGGGATAGATGTACTCCGTACATACTTTCCAGTTGACCAATTGGTCGGCGAATACCGAGTCAGTTAATTGGCATTGCACAATTACTTAATAAAGTGCGGCTTGATATTTCCTTATTATCAAGCTGATCTGCAAGCTGATGCTCTTGCATATAGTATTGGAATTGGGTGGCTGCGCTGATGTAGATCCTTTGTCATTTCTCGAGGGCGGACTTGCATAACACGAGATCGGAGTCAGTTGGAGCAGCACGCACCCCGAAATTCCCAGAAATATGTAAAAGCACGACGACATTTGAAAGACTTGATTGGAAATTTTATCGCATCCTGATCCGCCATATTTTACTTGATCGCCAACGATGTTCAGGCACAAAAGTCGATCGCAATTCGTTCAGAGATTCTTGACTTCGATCGAGGATACTCCAAAACTTTGTTAATACACAGTAGCCCCGAAATTGAAGCTGTCGGCCTCCACCAACTGCTATTTGTCATCGGCATGCTCTCGGTTGTTGTGAAATTTGTAGATTCATCCCCTGCAGGAAGTGGTAGAGTTGTGTAACACTTGCGTCCAATGGAATCTCGGAATGCAGCCACTAAAATGTGCAGATCAATAGTCTATGCACGATTCAATAATCACCATGAGTTCCTCAATCAAAATAGTCATCCTGTACATAAACTTAGCAAAGTTATAAATGTCTCGGAAATCCCCGAAATGTGGCTGCCCCTGTCACATAACACAGCATTTCCGAACAACTCCAAAATTTTCATTCCACATCTTCCTTCATAATTGCTGATTTCTCAACATGAAGACCTTCGTTGCTCTTGGGGCCCTGGTAGCTCTGTGCCACTCCGCTTTCGGTCTTGACGAGGGAGCTTATACGATCGGATCCGCAAGTCTTCAAAGCAACAAGATCCTGAGTGTAAACGAAGAGGATGGGAAAACCCTGAGTTTTTCTCCCGACAACAACGATGGAAGCCAAGCCTGGCGCTTTACTCGCGTTGAATTCGACAATCAGCGTGATTTCTTGATCAACAGTACCTTTAGTGGTGGTTATATAAACTGCGGAGAACAAAGAGACTCCCCCTGCGTCCTGGGAGACGAGCCACAGATTTTCACTGCTGAGCTAGTTGGCGACAACAGTTATGAGCTAGTTTCACAGCCAAGCGGATACTTCTTGCGCGCTGATGGCGAGAAACTGCAAATCGCCGAATGGGACCAGAGCCCCGATGAGCAGTTTGTTTTGACCCAAGTTGATTATTAGGAGTAAGTCACAAGGCTGCCACTAGTCTATTCAAGCAGCGAAGCTAACTGATACTATGTGAAATAGGTATTCTGTTTGCCTAGATTATATGGAACTAGCTATCAGACCGCAAGCAAAGATAGCAGTTTGGACATTCCCCAGAAGCCGTCGATCAATACGGAATTAGATATCGATAATTCTTACCCATCTGCACTTTGCGCAAATACTCAAGCCATGTTAGAAAACATTTTCCAAAGTCCAAGAGAAGTTTTGCTTTGTGTTGAAACTTGAAGTGGCGAGACATTAACGTCCTAAGTCATAACAGGGACGGGATTGAATCATTGCCAGAGATCGAGTTTAAGTGGAAATTTTAAGAGACGAAGTTTCAATCTCAGTTGAAGCTAGATAATTTATGTTGACCAGTCGATGTCAGATCAAAATTAAAGATCAATGAAGTAGGAAAGATCAGGATGTCAGGTTAGCGACCCGTAGTCGCCAGCTTAACCCGGTAGATCTTATTGCGACCAAAGATATAAAGCCAGTCGCCAGCCCATGCCATGTTAACTGCCACATCGCCATCGGCTACCTTAATCCGCCCAAGGAGTGTGCCGTGAGGATTGTACACGTCGACTGATCCGACCACGGCACCGTAGACCCGACCGTCCTTGTCAGTTTTAATACCATCTGGGAATCCAGTGTCAGAATATGAGAACATATTTCTATTTATAAGACCGTCAGCGGTAACATCGTTGATATAGATTGTGCGAGCACCATCGGGATCCGAGCTAGAATTCCCACGGTTGGAAATAAAGAGCTTGGACTGGTCGTGATTGAATGCGAGGCCGTTGGGATTGAAGAAAGCGCCCTCGACTGCGCCAGCAACCATTTTGATATTCCCTGTCTGCATGTCCCACCTGTAGATACCATTGGCAAGTTCAGGAAAGAGTGTGTCATTGAAATTGTCCCAGCCATAATATCCATCTGTGAAATATACAGCACCTCCTTCAGATATAACGATATCATTCATAGAATTGAATCGATGGCCGTAAAAGTTGTTCTTGACCACTTCGGTCTCCAGGGTACGAGGGTCCATCCTGACAATGGAGCTAGGCGTGGTCATGTTTCCCTCCTGGGCCCAGTACACAGATCCATTGAAGTGATATGCTCCGTTGGCAATTGTCAAGGGGGGATTTGGATACACTTTGCTTATGTTTGGCGATACCAGATCTGTGATGTCCATCTTCCAGATGTAGGGGATCGCCTCCATAGAGTATCCTTCTTTGGGAGAAAACAGCTCGGCCACAAATAGAATATTTTCTTCTGGTACGTAAACCGATCCATCGTGGATCTGACGTTCTGCATAGGATGGGGGATCAGGGAAGGTAAAAATATCCTCGACCTCCTTTTTCTCCAAGGGCCCAGAAATACCAAGGAGCTAACGCTTCCGTGTTAGCAGAAGAATATGTCTAGGGGCGATGAGGGACTGAATTCAAACCTTGTAGAACTCCACGTCATAGACTATGAAAGAAGCATTGGCAATCGTGTCCAATGTTTCTTGACTAGCGGACTTATCCTTTCCATTCAGCAGATGGGTGTCCCACATAGGAACCGTGACGTTGCGATTGAAGTTTTCATAAGGAAAGACATCGTTGAACCCTTTTGTTATTTCCACTACTGAAGGCCCGACGATGAGGTCTTTGCAAAGGGAAATTGTGGGGAAAAGCAAGAAAATAGACCTGAGAGTGAGAGAAGTCATGGTTTGATCCTATCTAGGTGTACTGAGAAGAGGAGAAAGGGTCAGATTACGAAATAGAGCTTGCCTTTAATGCCCTGCGTGGAGACAATGCACTCGGTATTATACCGAGAGCAAGTCCCTAGGCACGAACACGACAAGTTAAAAAGCGAAACTCTGGAAAGCGATCAAGGAGACAATGCACTCGGTATTATACCGGGAGCAAATCCCTAGGCACGAACACGACAAGGTAAAAAGCGAAACTCTGGAAAGCGATCAAGGCTTTCCGAAGGGAACGGAATCTAGCTATCAATGTCAGCTTGAAGCTCATTCTACAGAGCGAGCCCCCGGGCTTACAAAATAACTGCTCCTTTATACCCGGGGTAGTCGCTGACGACAGGAACAAAGCCTATCCCCTTCGATAACGTCTTGCCAAAATTTTTGGTAATTTCGAAACTAAAAGAGATTGAAATCTGTCTAGCGAGGGTATAGATCTCGTGCATTTTGTTGATTCCTTGTCGCAAGGAGACCGCAAGTCCCATGCAGAGAAGAAACGCCATTAAATTGCTAGAAATTATTATACGCTCTCATGAATTGATTGATTGAAATCTCGATGTTAAATTAAAGAGTTTGTCAAGCATTTATATTGCCTAAGGCCTTATGGTGGCTCATCCTCTCTTCTATCCCAACGTGGCCCAGATAGTTCACAAGTAACTACCCTACGTAGTCGTGATTATGATGAAATCTACAAGCCTCATAGAGGTAATAAATTATAAGTATGTGACTGCTTTCTATTGATACACACACAAGCTTACAAAACAAAGCGATACATGGGATGCTCATCACCTTGGTCTGCAAGATCCGCGGGTGCGTACTGAGGATCACTGGGTCCATAATCCCGGTCACGGCGCAAATTTTCACGGCAAACAAGCTGCCGAAGAACGAGAGCGAACAAGGCAGCTCCAAAAAGCACCCCGGCACAAATCCACATGCCCTTAGAGTACATAGGGCCTTGGTTTGATGGGAAGAGTCTGGCACCCAATAGTGGGCCACATTGACCTATCATGCCAAAGATTGCGAGGCCCACGCCACGCTTGGAAGATGATCCTTGATTATCGGTCACCCAGGTAAAGGTGAGGGAAACAGCCGGGAAAACGCCAGCACATATCAAAAAAGTAGCAAGGAAACGGACGGCGTTGTTTGCTATCACCGCTAACATAACGTATCCTGCACCTCCCAAGGTAGCGAAGACAGCGATGAAGACACCCCGTGCTTGAAAGTAGTCGGAAATGAAGCTGATGATAACACAGCACACACAAGATGCAATGTACGGAATTGCGGATAGTCCTTCGGCTTGTATATTTGAGAATCCCATATTTGAAAGAATGGTTGGGAGGTATGCCGGGAGTGAGCCAAAGGCTGTGTTGAGACAGAAGATGATTGCAGCCTGGAGGTAATTTTTGTAGTCGTAAAATGCGGCGAAAGCCTGCTTAACGTCAATTTTCTTTCCCTGATCCCTTCCGCGGCCGATCACAGCTCGCTGTCCAATAATATTATTATCATGTTCGCTGAGAAATGGGCACTGAAAAGGGCCGTCTGGGAGGTAGAAGTAGGCGACAATTGCCAGAATAAGAGTAGGGGTACCCTCTGAGGCTAGATCAGCTCATCTTTCTCAAGTAAAATCTTCATGGCAGGGAAAGGGTAGCTCTTACCGATCAGAAAGATAATCTGCCAATGTGAGAGCTTTTCGTGGCCAGTTACGACACCATACGCAATGGCAGAAGCCAAAGCATTAGCTAACGGGGAACAAGCCATAAATAGACCATAGCGCAAGCCCATTTCACGCCGGTGATAAAAAAAGCTTAAATATAATGCAATAGCCGGGACAAATCCGGCCTCAAAGATACCGACTAGAATTCGACACACAAGCAGTCCCGCATAGTCAACGGTACTCGCCTGGATCATATCCAGAGCTCCCCATCCGAGGGCCATGCAAGCTGCCCATAACTATCTCACGTCAGACATGCTTATTAATACTGGGTAAAAGCGAAAGAGAAGAGGGGCTGGATACTCACTGGCAGTGGTACAATTTTCCAGGCTAGGATCAACTGTTCGTCGCAGTTAGCATGAACTTGTTGTTCAACCTAGAGAAAGCCGGGGCTCACGAACCCAATGGAAACAAATATAGGCAATGTAGTAGACTGTTACAACCATAGAGTACTGTGATGACGTGATACCCCAAGATTTCCCCATACCGGCCGTGTATGCATTGCCGATATTGCCTCTATCCATGTAAGAGCAGAGATATAACCCCCCCAAGCCTGCTCAGCGATTAGTCCTGTCTCTACTAGTAGTCGACACCATAAAGTCTGAACTTACAATGGAATCAAGAAGCGATCAAGCCTCCACAAAGCCTTTCTCTCTTCCTCATTGCTCCAAGTCCTCTCTGGAGGTGCTGTGGGCTTGGCAATGTGCCTAGCATTTTCAATGTAGTCCACGTTTCCAGCATCCGGCATTTCTTTGTGCATTTTGTCTGTGCTTTTCAATCACTGTACTATGCTAAATGGTTTAGAATTTCAAAAGGTTGCCCAGAGACTGCGTCCTTGGCATCAGTTTAATTGTACAAGTATTTCATATTCAAGTGAGAGCCGTACTCGGTATCTTGCGTGGTGTTGTTCGGTATCTTACCGACTGGATTACATAATACCCCGCATGATTGAGCAGCGCAGCGTACAACAGTTAATAAGTGGCTTGTGAGGCGAGGCTTTTGCCGAGGCCGCCTAAACGAAAAGAAATCGCGCTCTATTCTGGTCCTTCTGCCCGGTCGGCAATATTGAGGGTATGAGAAATGACAGTTTTACAAAGGCGAGGATGTGAAGTAAAACTGTTCGGTGATTGTGGGTAAGACCTGAGACTTGTAAAAAACAAGGTGGATCAAGAAAGAGAAGAAGAAAAAAAATTTATCAAGTGGTTTGCCTGTTACATGTACAGTGTCTTGGGGTATTGAATTCGATTATTGAAAGTCTCTGGACGTGTGTCAGAAGACAAAAGGTATTAAAACTGTTGTTCAAAGGGGGTCCAGTAAGCCATATCGGGGACAAATCCACCGCCAGAATCATCCATACTCCAGTCAGCCCATTCTGAGCCCAGTGGTAAATTGGAGTCCATTGCGACTCCCAGGCCTTCTGACAAAGGTAGCTGAGATGTCCCTGTCACAACGAATTCAGCCGGCGAAACGTATAAGCCTGTATCGGATGCTGTCTGCACTGGGGATGTTGCTTGGGGGAGCGCATCTATCATTGGTTGGGGAGGCATCCCAGTTGACCTTTCCCTGTCCAAGAAACTGGAATTGGGCACTTCCGATGACACTCTGGGCTGGCCTTGTTCACCTGAGGCTAAAGGAACGCCGATTTGAGACCGAATAATCTCAATGCTTCGCTTAATACCTGGTGTTTGTTTGACTTCTGTTTCCAGCATTCGAAGTGTAATCGCTAATCGATTCGTTGCCGTTTCGGCAAGCGCTTTATCTTCATGGCGTACGAGTCTGACATCAATTGTTGCAGCAGTGTACACGCAATATGATACTAGATAACTTTGGTACTGAAAGTTGTATAGGCGGCCATATGCCCTGAAAAGATCATTGACATCGGCTGCCTGTTCCGTGCAAACAGTCTTGGCTCGAAGTGCTAGAGGGTGTTGCCGTAGTTCTTCATCCCAGCACCAGATGAAGAAAGGTCGATATAGTAGTATCGAGAGAGTATGGCAGAGAATGCTACATCTTGTAAGTATTGACCAGGCCATGAATGGTGTTCGTAACTAACTTGAGACAAAGAATGTGGGGTGGGATGCAGGATTGAAGGCTCGCTCCTTGTTCGATCCTGAGCTCGGTTGGTAACTGTTGATGGAAGTTAACCAGTTTCTCTTCCAATTCAAATACGACATTTGGGTTGATGTTGCGAGTAGAATTATTATAGACGGTATCGTAGCTCTCATTAATGATCTAAATGAAATTGATTAGTTCCCGCTCAAGCCAAACAGCCTCGGATAATATACTTGTGCCAAATTGCAGAAATGTATGAACGTCAAGGTGCTGTGGCATTTAGTCTTTGGATAAACCTTGTCTGTCTCCAGTAAATGGGGTGGCTGCCATAAATCCTCCTCGTCGGATAGATCAACTAGATTGTTGTTAGCCACAATAGGAAATAAACTTATATCCATGTGTGACATACGCAGGGCAGAAGGGTCATAAGGCATGTTTTTCAAGGACGGCGGTCGTCCTAAAGAGAGACTTATTGATCTTTTAGGGCATAGAATCAGTATCAATCCGGCATTTTGAAGACAACAGTTATAGCTCACTTGTCCCATGCATAGACCGACAAAAACAGTCGTTTTCGAACTTCTAGATCATCTGGCTCATATTCCTTCACCAGAGAAGCCTTGCTTCTGTGTATGTGTAAGCCAAGATCGGTCATCATTCGGATTGCCTGAAGTTGTTAGTCGGAGTTCGGCGCAAGAACTAGGTCAAAAAAGGATACTGACCATTCCAGTGTATAGCCATCCTTCGCTGCTCTTTCCTACAGCGCACTGACGGCCCCCCAGAATCAAAAGACCCTGTATAGTGGGTATTCGAGGTTTGCTTTGTTGCATTTCCTCAATCAAAAGCAGCATCGCGTCTCGTAGGAAAGTTTCACCCCGCTCAAATGGAGCAAAGCGGGGATCATCTTCTGGCATGTGGCGGCAGGCGTGAGCAAAAATGACGTTCAGCAAGAATCGTGAAAAGCAAGGACCGCCAAGAGCCATATCCCGGTAAAATGCTCCAGAATGTTAGTCCTTTTAGAACCACGAGCACGCAGTCAATCCTGGATACTTACAACGTCGGTATATGCAATTATGCAGAGGTGCCTGCCATGACCAATAAACCTCCAGGAGACTGGAACAGATGCTTGGATCAACATCAGTATATTGGCTCATATTTGAATGAGCTGTATTTTCCCATGCACTTTGAAAGCGAGCATTCGAGTAGAGCCACTTTCGGTGATAAATTTCTATTTCCTGCGTCTCAGGCTCATTGCTTTCGACACCGGCCTCGAACTGATGGTCATTCTCTGGAATTGGATGAAATCGAGAGGTAGCCCCAAAGTAATGTTGCTGTTTTGAGTTTCAGAAGAGCGTCTTTGTTTGAAGTATAGATCGGCGAGTATACTTACCCTACCTTCCTTGTCGATGCTGAATTGGGCGCCGCCATCGTAAGAAACATCATTGGCTATGTCATGCAGTTTGTCTTCACTAAAGCGAGAGGGAGAAGTAAGAGTCGTAGCTCGAGTCATGTCGTCAGGCTCTGGTCCATTCAGGTCAAGCTGAGATACTAGATCTGCAAGACGTCGGTCTCGAGCATCGCTGTCCATCGTGGCCAGTTCTCTAATATGCTTGTGAAGCTCCTGAACGCGAGCTTTCTCCGACCGTAGCCCAACGGCTAGGTGTTTTGCATTTGAGTCATTGCCTTTATATAAGCAAGTCTCCCTCGATCGTGCACAATTGACGCAGGTCGGCCATCTGCCGTCGCATTTGACCTTGCGACGCCGGCAGACCAAGCATGCAAAGCCATACCTCCTTCCTTTTGATTGAGAGGTAATTTCCATCGCAGTTGGCAAGAATATCAGGGTAAGATGGAGGAGTGGACATGGTATGAAAGTGCGATGGGGTTTGGGTGTGAAGTCCCCAGAAACATTAATACGGCCGGGTGGGGCAGTCACGTTACTTCTTGACCCCAGCTTGGAGCATTTTACTATTACTACTACTACTGGAACTCGATTGGCCATAGACATTTCAAATAGATTCTGGGCAAGATATTATTATGCAAACTTTCAACGCCCATATTTTTCAGAGGGACGAGATGATTCGGATTTTGTAGGCACTTATGTAGTCCGATCATGGCTTCTACAACCAAGAGACAAATCCAATGGGAGGTGTTTGATACTACTTAAATATACCTAAATTATTTGTAGATTCAACTTCCCGCTTCCAAACTCGAAAGCTTGGAGTGCCATCTCCGAGTCGGAACTAAACAATTTATTCACTATAAACTTGGAAAGATAGTACTTCAGATATAGGCATTCCAGATCCGCACGCCCGCCATTTTGAGTGATATATGCTCAGGTGACAAATGTTCCCATATAACTAGATCTTTCCATTCCCCTCAAAGCATGAAGCGGTATCCGGGATGCAAATCACCCGCATTTGCTACATCGTTCGACATGTCAGTGCTATGTACAGTGCCGTGGAGCTGGTCCCGCCGTTTGTTTTCGTTGGACAGCAAGATTCTCAAAACCTGAGCGAGAATAGCAGCAAAGAACAAAAGTCCAGCACTAATAGCCATTCCCTTGACATAGAATGGTCCTTCTTCCTTGGGGAAAAACCGCGAGCCGGCAATCGAGCCAGTTTGACCTACCATACCAAATATGATCAGCCCTGCACCTCGTTTGGAGGCAGAGCCTTGATTGTCAGTCACCCAAGTGAAGGTGAGAGCCACGGCTGGGAAGACGCCACCGCAAATCAGGTAGGTAGCAAAATATCTCACAGCACTTGTTTTCACGAGGGCCTGAATCAGGTATCCGACAGCACCCACTGTACTAAGTGCACTCAAGAAATAGGAGCGATTTTTGACCTTATCGGAAAGAAATGAGGACGCCAGACAAACAAAGTAAGAGGCTAGGTATGGGGGCGCAGAAAGACCCTGTGCTTGAACTGAAGAGTATCCAATGTCCTTAATAATAGTAGTCAGGAAAGCGGGCAGGGCAGCGAAGGCCGCCTGGTATTAATCATTAGTTAGTCATAAGCAATGAATTTGTAGGCATGAGCTAGGTCCAGGTAGACTCACATTAAGACAGAATACTATCACAGCTTGAAAATAATTTTTGTAGTCGTAAAAGGCAGCAAAGACCTGCTTCATGTTCAATTTGCCCTTTTCTTCGTGCCCACGGGCGGAGAGTGCACGAAGGCGAACAATCTCATTCTCTGTCTTGGTAAGAAATCGGCATTCGCCGGGGCCCTTTGGAAGAAATATGAATGCAAGCGGGGCGATAAGAATAGTAGGAATGCCTTCTGGATTCAGTAGCAAGTGGAAATATTAGCATAACACCATGCCGTACAACAGATTTCGACCGAATTCCCTGACTCACCGATGATAAATAATAGTTGCCACTGGGTGAGAGAGCTTTTGGCGTGGACGATACCATATGCTAGTGCAGAGGCAAAACAGTTGGCGATTGGAGAAAACGAAATGAAAAGGCCATATCGAAAGCCCATCTCTGATCGACGATAGAAGAAGGATAGGAACAAAGCAACCCCAGGAGCAAAGCCAGCTTCGAAAAGCCCAATCAAACAGCGCAGTGCGACTATACCTGCAAAGTTCACTGTCGCAGCCTGGAGAATACTGGCCACGCCCCATCCAAACGCCATCAGAGCAACCCACAACTGTGCCTTGCGTTAGTTGCAGAGGGATTGAAACGGAAAGGGAACCGAACCGGTAGAGAAACAAGCTTCCACAGCAAGATAAACCAGTGAAAAGCGATATATGCCAGGTAGTATGCTGTGATGATCCAAGAGTACTGGTTTGATGTAATGCCCCATTCCTTACCCATACCGGCCGTATATGCGTTTCCAACGTTGCCTCTGTCAATGTATGAAAGCATGTAGAGTACACCCAGCCTATAAAGTTCATCAGTGTGTCAAATTCTTTTAAGCGAATTGGGGCTCAATCATACAGAGGGATCAAATTCCAATCCAGCTTTTGGAACGCCTTGGCTCTTTGCGCATCCGAGTACTGAGCGAGGGCTTCATCCGCCGGAATATTCTCATGGAATGTCTTGCCATCATTTTTGTCGCAAGTCTCCTGTCTCTCTGGGTCAATGCTGACGGGTGCCATTTTGCCTTCTCGTGTTGGAGTTAGAAGAACAAGGGAAGCGAGAATAGATAGAATGGTGATGCAACGGGAGTCGGGACATATGAACTAGACCTCGGGACCAGAGAACTTAGATCAAGAAATATATTCCATACCCAAGAACATTATATGTATTCGGAAAGGAAGCACGATCTAGGGCTCGTGGAAACGTGATCCCCGCATTTCGCTATCCAGCCGGTGACATGAGGTCTCTGATCAATCCGGGGTATCGACTTGAACTGGGGTTTCCAGCCAGCTCTGGTGCCAAGACCAACGACAACCCCACAATGTCGGCTAGATGCCGGAATGATACCGAACTGATGCCAACCACTGTTGAGCTGTAGGCAAAGAAAACTTCGGTTCGGGGTTTGGGCGATGTGAACCATAATCTCCAGGGCGACTCAAAAGAATAAACTGATACGAACGGCCGCTGCTGGAAGAAAGCCAAAAGGACGGTCAGAACTGGCAGACCTAATCCCGATTCCCCTGAATTAATGCTAGGTCATGATTCATAGCTAGAAATTTAGATATGCCAAAGAAGGAAGGGTGTGAAAGGCCCAGATACGATGGAGATCAAAATCAACATATAGTCAGCATTCGACTAAAATACTAGAACTAAGCAAGGGAGAAGGGAGAAGAGGGGAAGGGTAGCAACTAGATATAATCGTATGGCTAGATGCCTAAGCATAAAAAATGTCATGCTTGGGCCTGATTCCTGAAGATAGATGGTTCAACAAATAGGGTCACGAAAGAACCGAGAAAACACGAGACGATGAAAACTGAAATACTCTCATATCGAAAATTTCATCGATAGAAGCGCAACTTGAAACCAGAAACGTCGCTCGCCCCTACCTCCCCAACCTCCCCGTTCTCTCTCTTCCCTTGTTTGTATTCCGTATAGTTTCCTTCAAATTCCGGTTGAATCAATAGTATGTTTCACATCACTACTAGTCAGGGGACCTATAATTTGCCATCAAAAGCTGTCCACTGTCTTTTCTTCAGCCTGTATTGGTAGTTCAAAATATTGCAGTGGCATTGGGTGGGCTGGCAACACCACCAGGAAGATTGAGAGGTTGACTCGTGAGCATAAAGGTCCACCGACGTAGCATTCTGCATGTTTCACTCAGCTCTTCCAAATCCCAACACTCGCCTATAGGCATCCCCCATCCACTCAAAAAGACCTATGCATATCTGTGAGCTTTCTAGTTTGAAATTGGCCAGAAAAGGATTTTCACCTACTTCGTGCATACAAACTCCCCAGTGTTTTGGTGACGGCCATTGTTCGTATGCCACGGTGTCACTAGCGACAGCAGAAAACCCTTGCTCCCAGTGCCATCGGATGGCCGCCTCGGTGGCTTCTACCCCACATGAAGCACGATCATCGCGACCCCCCCAGACTTTCTTTTTCGGCATCTGTCAGCCGTAAATATGTCGCTGTCCAACCCGTACGAATAACGAGAACATCTCCCTGTCGGAAGGTTACCCGCTGCTCTTTAGCAACCTCGAGTAGCTCATTTAGAGGAATAGCCTGGTTTGTGAAGGGGCGATGCGTCAGGCCCTTGCGCTGAGCATACGCATACCAATCGAGAAGGACCCCACGAGTCACAATTGGTTTCTCTGCCATATCTTATATAACATTGCGACGTTAATCAGTTATTTGCTGCAATATCCTACTGGGTGACTTACTTTGAATGCCGATTTTGTAGCTGGAGGAAATTTCGCCTTGGACAATTCCATTGTAGAACTGTTTAGTTTCGGAGTACGGGAAATGCCGCAGCCCATCCCAGTGACTCGAGCTTTGTGTATTAAAATCGAGCTGGAAAATAGTCAGATAGTTTCAGTCGATCACTATGATCAGAGCAAGTGAGTAATTACTAACCTCGTCATCGTTCGCATGCCCCTTGGCAATGAGAGTGTGCGAACAGGGCTTCCTGCGAGGATTCATAGGCTTAAGGGGAACATCTAGTGGAAGACTAGAGAATCCCGTTAGAACAGCGGATAAAATGGAGGATCACGCGAAGAAGTACTTCAAGTTCACTACTTTTCCCTCGACAGACTCCGCCAAAGCAGCTCGCACAACATCATTCGTGATCAAGTTCAACGTTCCGCGCTCATCAGTATCTCCCCATAGTCCCCAGGCGGAGCCCTTTGGATCAGTTTGTTTCAATGGAAGCTCGTCAAAATTTGGCGAGGGGTATATTCCGCTGAAACTATTGTATCACCCTCAGAGGATTGAAGGGACTTAGGTTGGCTGAATATCCCCGAGATCCACCCGAAAGGTATAGGCAAGAATTCTGTTAGACTCATGTTTGTTTTCGCAGACACAAGTTGGATACTATCTGATAATTCTCTGATGATCCGAGCAACAGCGAATAGGCAAATTTTGTTAAATGTTACCAGCAGTCCAATGCCAGTCAGCCATCCTGTTATGTGGTGAGGGTCCCGTGCGAAGGGGCATCCTTCGGCATGTTACCGACGCGGTCATCGGCATTTACCGAGCGCCGAGACTATTAGAGCACCCCGCAATGCACGGCCATGGCTTCATTGCTTCGCGGAATCAACTTCTCATCTCGTTGGCCATGGCTGAATTCAATATTCTAACCCCCAATGCCATGCTCGGGTATGGGTACCGGGCCGAGCATTTCTGGTATGGAATTGAGAAATTCGCCCCCAAAGCAATTATCGTCGACAGCGGGTCCACTGATGGCGGCCCGTATAAGCTTGGCTTGAACAAGATGACGTGCGGTCGTGACTCTTACATCCGTGATCTGACCCCAATACTCCAGGCCTGCTTTCATAAAAGAATACAGGTTTTGATCGGCTCCGTCGGTGGGGATGGCAGTGATAAACATGTCCAAGAGATGTTTGAAATCGTCCAGGAAATTGCGACCAAGGAAGGCTTCTCATTCAAGATCGCGACTATCTCTGCTGGCTTCCAGCGGGATCTTCTAAAAAGTCGCATCGTCAATCAAAAAGTGGGCCCTTGTGGTCCTGTGGAAGAATTGACAGTGGAAAGCGCCGACCGCGCCATTGATATCGTGGCGCAGATGGGCGCAGAGCCGTATGTTACACGTGGACTATATAGTATTTCCTGGTATCTATGGACAGAGCTAACTGTTGATGCCAAGTTTTTTGAAAGCTCTGGGAGCGAGTCCCGATATTATTCTTGGCGGTCGTTGTTACGATCCCGCGCCCTTTGCTGCATTTTCTATGTATCATGGTGTACGCCCTGGTGTCGCCTGGCATATGGGCAAGATTATGGAGTGTGGTGGCATTTGCGCCCTTCCGAAAGGACGTTCAATGATTGCCACCATGCGAGAAGACTCCTTTGACTTGACTCCCTTGTCGCCTAAGGAGAGATGCACTCCTCTTTCCGTTGCTGCCCACACATTGTACGAGAAGACACGGCCTGATCGCCTGCCTGGTCCCGGTGGAGTTCTTGCCCTTGATAAAGCCTCCTATGAGCAGTTAACAGAGAAGACTGTGCGCGTCAGGGGCGCTGAATTCATTCCTACCCTTGTCTACCAAGTCAAGTTGGAGGGTGTTGAAAAGCTGGGATATCGCACTATATTCATTGGTGGCATTCGCGACCCTATTCTCATCAGCCAGATTGACACCTTTTTGGCGGATGTGCGCGCATACACTGTGAAATTGTTCCCCGAGCTGGACAAGTCACCACAATGTCAGCTCTTGTTCCATTTCTATGGTCGCAACGGAACAATGGGCCCAATCGAGCCCACTCCAGTTGCTGGACATGATCTCGGTATTCTAGGAGAAGTTGTTGCGCCATCCCAAGAACTCTCGTATACCATTGCCAACAACGCCCGCGCGTCAATTCTGCATATGCCATACAAGAACCAGATCGCGACAACAGGCAACTTTGCGTCTCCGCTATCACCCCATGAGACAGCAGCGGGCCCTGTTTTCCGCTTCAATGTTTACCATCTCGTCGATCTGGAAGCTGGTGAAGAGAATAGCCTCTTCCCTATCAGCACAACATTGATTACCAACAAGCCTCTTTCCAAAAATACCGATTTGCCCCACCTTTCTGATGTAGAAAGACAAAAGCTACTCTCTGAAACACTCGAGCCTCTTTCATTCAAGCCTATCCCCCAGGACAAGTGCCAAATGATGGACATCGCGAAAATCATCAGGTCAAAGAACTCAGGTCCCTTTGAGATGACATTTGATATTATGTTCGACACCACCGAGGCTTATGCGCGTGTCAAGGATGCGAATATTCTGACCAACGAGCGAGTCATGTCCCTCTACCATCTGCAACCAGAAGATATCATAGTCAACATGTTCTTCGAACCTGCGCTAGCATGGAAGTGCACTATTCGCCGACCTTGGGAGCAGGGAACAGTAGGCGAGCGCGATACGTTGGGTACTCAACAACATGGACCTCTCTTGACTATTACTGTTCCAGCCGCCCAGGGAAGCGCTGCTACGATCAACTCAGTTAGCACCACGGGCGTTTCTTCGACTCCTCAAGACCGCTCTAATTTCTCAGCCAAGGACAGTGTGAATTATCTATGGACAACATTGGGTCTTCCTGCCGCATCCTTGGAAATGCTTCATCTCCCGGGTCAAGGCCTCGGTCTGCCCTCCTCATTTAAGATCGCTCATATTGCGCAAGCCTCTATCGGTCTCTCTGCCTTGTTAGCCGCGCAAATCCATGCCCATCGATCTGAATCAGCCGTGCCCGAAGTGACGGTCCCTCTGCAACATGCAGTAATTGAGTTCAAGTCTGAGAGATTATATACTCTCGCAGATAAGCCCGCCCCATCACCGTGGGGTCCTATCGGCGGCTTACACAAGGCATCCGATGGCTATGTGCGTGTCCATGACTCTTTCCCCAACCACCGTGATGGTGCACTGGCTTTAGTCGGCTGTGAGGCAAACGCCACCCGTGAAGAACTTGCGTCAAAGATAAAAGATTGGTGCTCCGTCGATCTCGAAGCGGCAGCGTTCGAAAATCGTCTGGTAATTTCTGCTCTTAGGACTTTTGCTCAATGGGATGTGCTTCCTCAGGCCCGGAGAATTTCCAATTTCCCTATCACTTTACGCAAGCTATGTGATGGACCATTTGGACTTCCTTCAGCCATGCAATCGCAGTCTGATAAGGCTCTTCGTGGTTTGCGTGTTCTCGAGCTCTCTCGCGTTATTGCCGCCCCTCTCTCCGGAAAGACGCTAGCTGCTCACGGCGCTGATGTTCTCTGGGTCACAAGCCCTAACCTTCCCGATCTTCCAACTATGGATCGTGACTTTGGCCGAGGCAAGCGTACGATTCAACTTGATCTGAACACCCAATCAGATCAGAACGAGCTCTCGCAGCTACTTGAAGAAGCTCATGTGTTTACACAAGGCTTCCGCCCTGGGGGTGTCGCTGATCGCGGTTTCTCGCCTGACGCTCTTTCAAAGCGATTCCAGCACCGTAACATCATCTGTGCGAATATGTCGGCCTATGGTCCTGATAGTCCTTGGTCAGGTAAGCGCGGGTTCGATTCGCTGATCCAGACGTGCTCTGGTATGAATATCTCAGAAGCCGAGCACTTCGGTGCTGGGGAAGCGGCGCGTCCAACACCTTGTCAAGTATTGGATCACGCTGGAGGCTACTTCCTCGCTGCCGGTATCACAGCAGCTTTGTATAAGCAAGCTACTGAAGGCGGGTCTTGGCAGGTTGATGTGTCTCTAGCAGGTGTCATGAAGTATCTGCGATCTCTTGGTCAATTCGAAGGAAAGGCGGGTTTCCAGACGCCGGACTTCACAAGCACCAACGATGTCCCAGAAGAATATTTGGAGACCCGGGAAACAGGTTTTGGAAAGATGACTGCCATTCGACATTCTGCTTCGATCCAAGGTGTTGAGGTTGGCTGGGATATAATGCCTAAGCCTCTGGGTGCGGATGAGACTAAGTGGCTGTAGAACGATAGATCAAAGAAGCAAATGAATAACTCGAGCTTCAGGAATATCATTATGAATAGGTGTAAATAGATTATCATAGAAATATCATGCTGTGTACTAGTATTTTAAAGAATTTTCTTCTATCTAACTCAACTCGGAGTTTATATATCCTAATCTACTTAGATTTATATATAATATTAAAACCCTCTATAAGCAAAATAATCTCTACGTGGACTAACTAAGATTAGTACTACCTAGGTATTAGATAATATATTAGAAAGCCTATATAGTGAATATATTATCTTTTAATAAATATAAATCTAGTTTATATACTTCTAATATATTAGTCTCTCTCTCTAGTTTATATCTAATAAATTCTAGTATTACTAGAATAACTAGTACTTTATAAATATCTCTACTAAGGATTTTAGCTGAATTGGAGATTAGAGATAATAGGGTCTTAATACTTTAGTAGAGGATAAGAGATATCTTATAGCTATAGCTAAGGTTATTATAGCTTTCAGATAGAACATCCACCATGGACTTTAGGTATGATTCATCGAATGACCCCAGTTGAATTAGCCCTAGGTTTGATCATCCAACATCTTTTCGAGACAGGATTCTAACTGTACTATGTACTGCTTTCACCGGTACATTTAATGGAAATATTATTGTTTGTGTAGCCCCGGAGGCGAAGGCTACTAGTAATTAGCATATCTAAACTTCCTTTAAAGCGACTTGGATTTTAAAGGAAACGCTCCCATGTAAGACTATTTCTCAGGTTTATAACATACTACTAGTATTTTTCCACTCCGAGTCATTCCAACTTGAAGGCTCCGGACGCAACTCCGACATATCCGTAGGTCTTGGAATGCTACGCCCAATTTGTTCGAATTTGAGACATAACCTTTCAAGGGTAGACGCCAACATTGAGCCACAGCATCACAATTTCCACTTGATCCCACAAGGCAACGTGGGAATTATCAACACTAAGAAAAAGAAGCTTGTCATAGGACAGTATGATTTGATTTTCGTACATGAGTGGCTTCTAATTCGTGCAGTAGCGGGGGTCTTACCGCAGCATCCTAGGATCTATATGCCTTACCATCTACCCACGGCCGAAACAAGGGTCTTTTTAATCTAGAGAACTTCGAGACTGGTGAAACAAAACTTGTTCATCTTGACAAATAAGTAGAGTTTGATACCAACGTTCATGAAATAGCCCGACCCTTGATTTCCGGCGAATTTGAAGGGCCAATCATGCGCGGCCCCCACATTTGTGTGGAGCAGGACGATTTGGAATTGTTCACGTACGGATATCACGTATCACACGAGTTGCCCCAAAATTCTGTTCTTTGTTTGCATGGGTTGCCTAACGTACATAATACACCAATTAGTGGGGTGTGATGTGCCCCCTCTCTACCCTACCGACCAGTGATTCCAAATCATGGCGAGGAGACTTCTTATGGGGAGGCAACCCCCCTTTGGGGGCCCCTGAACTCATTATGACAAAAACCCATCCTACTCAACGAGGAGACAAAGCCAACATCTGAATATGGACCTGAGATGAACTTATAATATTATTGGGAGCAAAAAGAAAACTAGCGCCAAAGATAATGTGGTATCAAGGTAAATCAAACCAAATCCGAAAAATTACCCAAACTCAAGACACCGACACCCAACACCCTGGATTGCAAAGGATATCTGGCTGAAACAAAATCACCGATAAAAATCACGCAGGCTAAAACTGATCAGAAAACAAATCAAAAGGAATTTCATGAATCGAAAATCGGCCCAAACGCTGGGACCCCGCGCACCTCGAGCTCATACACAATTCGGCGTGTCAGCATGGGGTTACTGATCACGCACACCGCTTCGGCATCGAACTCTTGGACTTGACGCTGTACAATGGGAACCATGTCGATGCGTCCACAAACGTTTGTATCCATGACGATCGGACTGGGATCCATTCGGCGTACAAGGTCCATTACCCCCTCACCGTATGTCCTGAGTGGCGCTCGAGTCTGCCAAACCACACGCAGAGCTGGTCGATTGTGGTCTCCAAGGAAAGATAAACAGGGGCCAATGCCAGATCCCGTCGTCACGACGATGATTCGCCGGAAGACACGCATGGCATATGCAAAGCCAGTGATGCGCACTCCACGCTTCCATAGATGGGTTGGCGGGTTCTGGATGCAGTCGGTGGTCCAGTCCCCTGCCTTCGAAACTAGACAAGAGAAGCCCGGGGCTTCATTCTTGTCCGTTGGTGTGGGATCGGGAAACGTTGCAAAGCCATGCCAGTCACGCAAAGGGTGTCTTGAGAGAGAGATACCTTTGCCGAACGAGGTGGGTCGATAGTTGAAATGCAGCCTCACGGCGTGTGTGGAAAGGACCTCGGCCCGTACCGGCACCTTACGCAGCAACAACCATGGATGAACTATGGCGATCACTGTGACCACCAGGAACCAAAAGGCGGGCAATCTGAGAAGGAAATAACCCAATGCAAGACCCTCGGCTTGCGTGATCTCATGCGCAAACACCATCAAGAGCGCAACAAACAACGCAATGACCAGCCACCCCGAGAAACGGTGGGTGAGTTCGAAATAATCATGCCGCTTCGCCCGCAACGTGGGGTGTGCCACAACGGGAATCGCCACCAACAGCACGAGGATGATGTAAGCCAGCGTGATGGGAGCGGCTGAAAAGTTGACAGCTGATGCATCAGCTGTGGGTGCAGATGGCCCCCAATACTGCTGCGAGATCAGGCCAATGAAGCCCAGATACCAGACCAAGGCTGCTATCCCGCAACCGCTATGCACGCCACCATAGTGGTAGGCTTTGGCCGCCCAACGGCGCAAGACAAACGGTGCCGACCGAGGAATGCAACACACCACCCAAAAAATAGCATTGACAACTAGTGGCTGACGTGCAAGCCCACATGCGAGAAGGTTGGCAGCCGTTGCATTGACCAGGGCAACAAGTTTGCGGTCCGAGACCATGATCCAGACAAAGACTCCAATATTTGCGAAGAAAACCAGTGTGAACAGCCGACGATATATACTCATAACTGCATATCGTATATTGGCGAATCGTTTAGGCTGACCTTGAACAGCCTGAGCCTCGAGATCTCTTGGTTCAACATCGATAGTCCGTCCTGGGGTCGGGATATCAGAAGTTGAGCCCATCGAGTCACGGATGTCTCGACCGTGATATTTTTTTCTCGTCAAAGCTGCCATCAGTGAGAGTCTCTTCACTATGGCTAGGCGATTCCCTGACGAGTGCCTTCGCCATGGGCGAAGGCAAGGAATGGGGAGTTTTCTCCGAGACTGACATGGCTAGGAAAGCCCGGCAGAGTCGGTTCAAAAGATGACTAAATAAGGAGAGAGAGGAGATGAAGTTGGTAACTCGACCGATATCAATCCAACTTGGAGGGGAAGATTGAAGGAAATAAAGTCTTTTCCCAGTTGGGCTTGTCTCTGCCTCGGCTTCGGACTTCGGTCTTGTTAAGTTCAAGCTGGGGAAGGCACGACCCACGACTGTCCCAAATCAGATGCAAAATGCAAAATGCAAAATGCAAAATGCAAAATGCAAAATGCAAAATGCAAAGCAAAGGCAGCTGCAATGACTACCTTTTCCTCTTTCTCTCTTTCACTCCCCTCCCCCCACTTCTCTCTCTCTAACCTTTGCAATATTCCCAATTATTGATATTGGATTGGCACTTTGTGGTAGCCCGGCCGTTCCCCTCGCCTTCTTCTTTCCTTGATTTTGCAACATAGTTCGTCTTCGCCTTCGTCTTAGTCCCAAGCAGGAAAGACCTAGGGACGCTCATATCTTAGCGGCTTCCCTTTTTTCTCACCTGCATTGGTCACGTCACAAGCCTCGTTCGCTTTTTTTTTTATTCTCGCAAATTCTTGCCTCAAGGTTTCACTACCCGGTGTGTATGACACTATCATCACCGGGGCTCCATCCCGTTCTGAGTCCAGTACTTTTTTTGTCACCAATGACGGTTCATTGTCGACCACCTCCACTCTTGCATTCAGCTCTATCGGAGCAGGTCGAACCATTATGGATCAAGTCATGATCGGTTCTTGTCTGAGAGTTATTATCCACTCCGTGTGGGCCTGTGACAATTACCTGTCGGGGAACGGGGTGGACCGGAAAGGGAACGATGAATGCCAGCGCAGGGCTCCATTGTCCCCGCTGTGGAATGTAACCCAATCAAAGACGGCTTTTATTTGCGATCATCAATCTGAGCCTCGCCTCAGGATGGACTTGCTCGCAATCACTCTGCACGTTGCCACTGGGGTGTGAGTCCTATCGGGCAACAGTTGCATGCAAGCGAGGGCCCAGTCAATATGAGTGCATGGCAAGCTTCCAATCATAGCCACAGAAGGGAAGAACACCCCATCGCCGGACAATCGGAGAACCAGGGATATCTAGCGTTAGCCACGCATCCTTCAGAAGCAACATTAGTCTCAAAGAGGGAACATTATTCCCGGCTGCAAAATGAGACAATAGATCGGGTTCCTGGAACGTGGCGGCTATCTTTCCCGTGCATTGCATGGCTGCCGAGTGACTGTTTTTCTTTTTCTTTGAGACCTGTGCAGTCGATCATATCAGACAGTGGGGGTATCAGCCCCGCGGCAACCTCTATGCATCAGAAGGAACAGTGCTTCCCGATAACCGGAGTGGATCATGATCCTCCTGCAACCCGCGGTCCTGGACGGGAGGGTTGTGCGCACTGCATCTTGGTGGCGCACAGTTATCACTAGTTGCGAGCGGAGCGAGGTTCCTTCAAGTCAGCGATCTGTCTTCTCCTCACGGGAATCTGATCTTCTCCACCGATGAGAGCTCAGAGATTGACCGTCACATGAGAGGAGAGGAAATGGGTTTCGATAGTGTTCATTCCAGCCTGTTTCTTTTCCCCACTTGAGATGGTGGGATCAGCTCAGCTTGCAATCAATCTGCCACCTCTGGAAGGCGGGGCTCCCTTTGCGAATCGGCCCTGCGGAGCCATGGCAGGAGAGGGAAAGAACTTTAGCTCTACAATCGCGCGTCGACGGCGGGACGTCAGGCTGACATGACGCCGGGTGGAGACGGATTAGAACCACTGGAAGGTTGATGCAAGACAGAGCCAGGGTCTCGATTGGCAAGAGACGGCCCAGCTGGCCCGTGGCCACATCACTGCGGTAGTGGGCGAGGGCCGCTCCGGGCCCACGCTCTGATCCCTGTTTCCCAGATCTGAACCGGATTTCATCTCGTGGAGAAGCATCGATCAGACCAAGCGTGATCGACAATCGCCATTGGGGGAGCAGATCTTGACAGGAAGAAACGCAAAGGTAAATTTTGTACGGAGTAATAAAATAGAAATAAAAATAAAAATAAAAATAAAAATAAAAAAGAATTTATGGGTTGTGGGGTGATGGAGAGAGCAGGTAAGGCGATCATGGGAGATCCCGATTCATGGACAAAGCACCAATTAATTCAAGTTACTCCGTACTCCGTGCGCACACGCGCCGCAATTTGGTATGAAGGAACCCGAGGGTGTGGCTCAGCTGGAGCAAGTAACATGAAAGGGGTTGGCCGTCAATACAAAACTAGTGACACCCGCATGAGTTGCGCCACTAGTTGTTAGCGTCGAACAGGTGGAGCCACGAACCGATGCGGTGGCTATGGGTTCGATCACATCTTTTTTCCTGCGTACTCCGTAGTACTGGCCGAACAGCTGGGGCTGGGATTGGGGTTGATGGGTCTGGAGATGCTCGGGTCCCAAACAGGGTAGCTCCCTCGGACAACTCCGGAGGAAGTATGAGCTCAGATAAACATTCCATAAATATGAGTGGTTTTTAGTTGAGGTCATACTGTGTGTATGTACTCGTACTACTCGTATAGTACTTTGGGGAAATTCCAGAAGTTAAGTTGAAGAACTGCGGGCGCTGAACCAAGGAACGAGGGAACCAATGAACCGGTAGAACCAGAGAGCCGGGTGGAGCTGGTCATGACTAAGCGAAGTATTCCAAATATTCCAAATCAGTCTTGCCTGCCTCCACACGCAGGAATCGCGCTTGCTTCAAGAAATCAAATCATTTTGTATGGAAGAAGAAACATGCCAGTGCGTATTCGTAGTAAAATTATGAAACCAGAAAATACATTACTCGTTACTCGTTACTCATTACTTATCCTGCCTAATCCCCCACCTCATCCCATCCCATTTTCCGTCTTTCTCATATTGTCGATTACCACACCTCCTTAGTCCCTCCCTCCCAAGGGTCATTTTTATACTGTTCCGGGGCCTTAATTCCACCCTGGTGCATTCCAGTCCATTGCCATGATGGGTTCTTGGACTTCCCATGCCCCCGTACCTGTGGTCGCAGATCCATTTCTCCAACAAACGACCTATACCGATCTTCTGACTTTCACTTTTTGTGGCCCAACTCCATATAATCAGAATCAGCCACTCTTCATCGACGCCGAGGATCCCTCACGCTCATTCACAGCCGCCCAATTTCGCCAGTTAGTTCGGACGTTGATTGCCGGCTTCAAGGCATATGGCGTGCAGCCGGGTGACTGCGTGCTGCTGCACTTGGGGAACAGCGTGAGTGGTCCCATACACGGGGAGATATCGCACCCAGAACTAGCCCGAATCATGAATTCTCCGGCCATATGCTGACGCAGTCTGGTTTCCATTAGATCCTCTACCCTGCCCTATTTTTCGGTATTATCGGTGCCGGTGGTGTATACATGGGATCAAATCCCCGCAGCCAACCGCAAGAACTGGACCATATCATAAGCCTGGCCGAGCCCAAGCTTATCCTCACCACGGCAGATGCCCTGCCCATGGTCGTCAATGCTGCTGTTGAGCGAGGAATACACCCTAGCCGCGTGTGTTTGGTGGATGATCGAGCAGTCGATCACTGTGCGCGGCTGTTTTTGCAATTCGAGCTGGGATATCAGATACGAGACTTCATTGCTGTTGGAAATGCGCCACACTCGAACTTGGCCCATCTCCTGGATTTTGGCGAAAGTGGTTGGATAATGTTCAATGACCCGGTCGTTGCGCAGAATACCCCCGCCGCCATGTTCTCGACTAGTGGCACCGGTGGTCTTCCCAAAGCGGCTATCCTGTCACACCATGCGATCGTGTCTCACCACCGCTCTATACAATACGAGGTGCCTTATTTTACAAGCCGGCTCATGTCGCTGCCTATGTTTCATCTATTTGGTGCGCTGTGGACTCATCTGTTTCCCGTCCGATATGGCCACCCACTCTTTGTCTTGCCACGCTTTGAGCCAAGACAGTTCCTCAAGACCATTCATCAATATCAGATCTCGGAGACTTACCTGGTACCGGCCATCATTCACTCCTTGAATCGTTTCTCACACCCCGTCGCAGAGTATCTGCAGTCGCTACGCTATGTTGGCGTCGCGGGAGCCCCTATAGATGCGGCTTCGATGCTTGAGTTCCGCAATCATCTTCATCCCATGGCTTTTGCTTGTCAACTTTGGGGCATGACAGAGGTCGGAGTAACCTTTCAAACTCGCTACGGTCAGTATGGTGACCCAGGGAGTATCGGTACTCAACTATCGGGGTACGAGGTGCGGCTGGTTGATGACGATGGCTCCCTCGTGCAAAATGACGAGCAGAAGGGCGAACTACAACTCCGGGGTCCCGGTTTACTTCTGGCTTACAAAGGCCGGACTGATGCGAAGGATTCCCAGGGCTGGTTCCATACTGGAGATATTGCCTATAAAAAGAATGGTTTTTATACTATCGTTGGACGAAGTAAGGAGCTCATCAAGGTTCGAGGGTAAGTACAAAGATTCAGCATGGCTCATACATGAGAGCAAGAAATCCTAACGTTTGACAACAGATGGCAAGTCGCTCCAGCTGAGATTGAAGCAGTCCTTCTGCAGCACCCTGGGATCAGCGATGCCGCTGTCACAGGTATACACTTGAAAGATCGCAGCAGTGAAGTACCTCGTGCTTTTATTGTGCGATCACGAGACCCATCTATCAGTCGATTGTCAGCTGAGGAGGTCTACAACTTTACAAGGCAGCGTCTAGCGAGCTATAAAGCGCTGGACGGTGGTATAATTTTCGTCGAGGAGATCCCACGCACGCCTAGCGGCAAGATTCAGCGCTTCAAACTGTCTCAGATGAACGTCTATCGTGACATGATTGCATCCCTCCTATCACGTTTGCCAAGCGGTGGTGACTCCACGTCTGTGTTACGCCCGCTACCCTCCAGTGCCGATATGCCACAAGTTGGCATTGTTCCCGAGGGACCCGTCGCTGTCTAGGCAGTCATGAGCCCGTAAGAGCAACCGAAGTGGCGTTTGTACCCTTTTTTGGGATATTTTTTTGGGATTGAAATTTTCGGGCTATCTAATTTGAAAGAGGCTACAGTTTGAATTTTTTTTCTTTACTCTGAAGTAAGGGTTGTGTTTTGACATCTGGCGGTCGCATGCGATTTACGATTTAATGTTTTTTTCTTCTATTATTATTCTTGCACAACCAATCGGAAGACGGGACTGGGAGGATTTTCGATTTACTTTTTGCTTTGATTTTGATACCACATGCACATGCACATCTATCTACTCAGAATAAGCGTTCACCGATCGCCAATTCATCTCGGAATCATGAAAGCATAATGATTTGAAAAAGAAACCTTCTTACATGTAATATGCATGGCGTAGAGGGGTACGGAGTACACAGCAACCATATGCAGCCCCACTGCAGGATAGATCTCCCTGCCGCTGTCATGACTCAAGCAGATTCAGAGGTGGATTCGCAAAAAAAAAGCAATTCTCAGCACACCGCCGCAGGCCCCGTGCGCCCACTACGCCCACGCGGGATCTCTTAGTCTTGCCGGGTCAAGATTAAATTTGTGTAACATAGCCGAATTCCTGGTTCCTGGAACCTTGGTGCTTGAGTCAATGTATCTCCGAAGGGGTCTAAGCTCGAAACAATTTTGTGCGAGGTAGGTTTCAACTTGAAAGGATCTATGTATGTAGATACTCCGCAGAGGGTCGTACAGATGAAACTCACATCCCGCACTTTGGGATGTGGTCTAGATCTACGAAGTACGGAGTACATTGCTCGTGTCCAAAACCTTTGCAGTTTCCAAGGTTGTTCGCCCAGCCCAGCCTTGTCCGATAGTTCTCGCTGACTCGGCTATACTTCCCGAAGTTGAAAAGGCCACCAATCACTGCCCTGTTTAGCCTTGTTTTAGCCCTGGTAATATCAGCCGGTCAGTACATTTGGAGGTTGCATGCATCATTGGTCTCAATTCCATTTTAGAAATGTGTAAATCTTCACCTGGAAATTCTTGGCCCCAATCCTACAACATCTATCACAAATGTACCCCGTACATGGTTTGCTAGCATACAAAAGTACTATGGTATATACACGTGATGTATCCCGATCGGTCAGGAATTTGTCATCGGAAGGTTTTCAGCCGACGGCCCTTTTCACCCCGATCATCGGAGCCGACAGTCCGACAAGTCCGATGCAAATGGCGTGAGAGTATCATGCCAGCGCAAGAGTATGGCATCACCAGCAAAGAGACAGAAAAAACTGTCCTGTCGAAGGTGTCGATCACGAAAACAAAAAGTAGCTTTTGATAATCACTAGCGATGGGCGAGGCTGACATTCCACTAGTGCAGCGAGACGCGGCCGTGCGAGAATTGCACCCAAGCGAACAAAGGTATGTGAGCGTACTTTTGGTTTGAGTTCATCATGAGATCCTATCTGAGTTTCAATAGAGTGTATTTCCAGCGACCATGTTGATCGGAGACACCGGTTCAGTCTTGAGTAAGTAAATACGTCATCCTTTTGGGTCATCCATTAATACGTTTCTGGTTAGGTATACTCGATCTCTCCAGAAAAGAGTTGCACATCTTGAAGCTCAATCACTGAATACGGGACAAGGTGACTCTCCAGTTGTACGACATAGTGCTGCAAGGGACTCATGTATTGGTGGCGAAGGCCTCGAACTGCAAAACAATTCAGCCTTAACCCGCCACACTTCCAGGATATGCACGCCTTCCCAACAGTCAGTTGAAGGTTTATCCAGACCAGAAACAGAAGTTGCTCACAATTTAATTCTCTCGGCATGTCCGGCCTCCAATGTCCCCTTTTCCTCCCTTCTCCATGCTGAAGTACCAGATCAGCAACTGGTAGATGGCGATCAATGCGGTCATTCATCCCTATTGGTTAGCATACTAGCTGCCCTTTCAAGCGGAAATCCTTGTGGGATAAAGTCACCTCAGACCGATAGTCTTCGCGACATACGAATTCATTCATCTGAGGCAGCTCAATTAAACACCCCGAGAGATTCAATCTGTCTTTCGGATTCTGTGAGCGATGGGCTCATCGAGGTTTATCTTCAAAGAGTGAATCCACGGTATCCCTTTCTTCATGGTGATACATTTTTGGAATGGTATCAGTCATGGAAAGCATTCAGGAAAGTTGAGCCTACTGCAGATCAGAAAGACCGATGGAAAGACTTTTTCGTGGTGATGGTATGGGTCCTTTTTCCCGTACTATTCTTCAATGGTGATTAACCGAAAATTAGGTGCAAGCCGTCAGTATACTTCTGACTCCGCAAGTATCTAAAAGCGACATTGCCGTTTCTCAAGTAAGTTCATTCCATCGGCCTCTAGAGAAGTCACTAAAGACATGGCAGTCATTGTACAACACGGCGATCAATTTTCTACCATTTGTTTTCGCACATTCTAGTTCAGTTTTGCATGCACAGGCCTATCTAGTCTTGACTTTGCATGCTCTGCATTCTCCTTCATCGCAGATGATTGTATCAATGGCATCGGCAACAATGCGCCACTGTGCCATCAATCAGCTTCATCTGGCCGAAACTGAGCCTAATGTACCATTTCCCGATTTCTCGCTCGAGGTACAGATCCGTCGCAGGGTTTTCTGGTCTGCATACGCGTTAGATCGATTGATTAGCTGGATTTATTACATTCCGAACAATCTCATTGATGAGCATATCACTGTTGAGGTAGAGTACAAACAGCTACATCAGATCCACATGAGAACTAATGCAACCAGATGTTTTCGAATGTCGAAGACACCCATTTGTATCCCGATACGACAATAATTGGCCAGGCACGGGCATCTGACTTGCCTCAAAGAACGCATATATCCCCAGCTCTACATCTTATACGATGCAGATGTATTCAATCGCGAATTATTAGCACAATGATGCGATCTGACTTCAATAAGATTGATGCCTCCCCGGCATGGAGACAACATATGCTGCAAGAGCTAGAGTCTTGGAGAACGCAGATACAATTGCTTAGCCACAGATCCTCCAGAGGCTATTTGAGTGACCGGTGGGTTGGCATGGCATACAATTACACAATCCTCTTGTTGCATCAACCCACAAAAGAAAACGCGTCTGGCACTTTCGGCGAGCGGTCGGTAAAAGCTAGTGTCCAAATAATGTTGACTTTCAGAGAGTTCCAGAAGGATCGACAGACTGCCCAATTGTGGCCTGGGGTAAGTCATTTCATAAGATGACGGGAAGAATCTGACTAAAATATATTGCAGCTTCTGAGTCAGTTCAATGTTGGTGTCACTTTTCTATATTGCTTCTGGGCAACTCCGATCTCCCATCGATCAACCGAATACAGCTCCCTAGAGGTATCTGAAGCATTACGCGCCTGCTCAACGGGCCTAGCAATTCTATCTGAGCGTTGGATTCAAGCCGAGCCCCTTCGCGACATATTCGACATCCTGGCCAAGGAGATTCCTCTACACAGCGTGGAATCAATCCCACGGTGTCTATCTGCGGACGCAGTTACTCGTATCAAATCCCAAATGGATTGGTTAAGAGTCGTTGTAAAGAATCGTGGAGTTTTGCGGATGCTAGATGAGATGGTCAACGAAGATTTTCCCTCCAGTCCTGTCGGAAATTCTGGCCAAGTGCCCAATCAAGAAAATGGGATTCAGGAAATTACCGAGCACTTCTGTTCCGAGCATTGCTCTTTGTTTCCGGGGACTGTGTTCAATGATCCGATGACAAGAATGGGGGGGATTGGAAGGCGAATATGAGGTGTTCGATGACTCGTTGATATTCCCTTCTTTATTTGGCTCGGCTGAATTCTAGCAGCATCGTTTGCTCAATAAAATACCTCAAGCTTTTTTATAATCTTTGTATTCCAAGGGACCTGGGAGCTTCGAAAGTATCGACGCTGTCGGACATTTGGCTCCGAAGACTCCACATCGGAGTCCCCGCACCGATGATGACTCGTGTGGACCACTTCAACTGCCGAAGGTCAAGACCTTGAGCTATTTAAATATTTTTCCTGCGAGGCACCTTCTTCTTCAACTTACTCACTCACTAACTTTCAAGCCACCAATATGCCTCAAAAGCTGACCGTCGCGGTGGCACAAACTCGCACTCTTTCATCCCTCGGAGCTACACTTGCCGCTCTAAAAAGCATTACCGAGCATGCCGCATCTCGAGGAGTGAAGCTCCTTCTTTTCCCCGAGGCTTATCTGGGAGGATATCCTCGAACCTGCGATTTTGGCACCGCGTTTGGTGCGCGGGCTCCTCACGGCCGGGAGCAATTCCTTCAATATTTCAAGGCCGCCGTGGACCTCGGCGACACCCCCGCCGGAGCTGGCGATGACTGGGTCGAGCGCAAACTCCCTGTAGCCAAAGGATCTGACCGCCGTGGAGATGGAACACGAGAGTTCCTTGAGCAGGTCTCTAGAGAGACCGGCGTCTTTATTGCAACTGGATTGATCGAAAAGTCCGGTGGTACTTTGTACTGCTCTGCCGTTTTTGTGGATCCGAACTCTGGAGTCATCGGGAAAAGGCGAAAGGTTATGCCTGTAAGTACCTTCCTGCCCCATATACCCAATCAATCAAAAATTCCACTGCTAAGCCTTTTCAGACCGGCTCCGAACGTCTTGTCTGGGGTCAAGGCTCAGCCTCCAGCCTGAAGGCCGTTACTACCGAGCTTAACGGTGTCAAGCTGACTCTCGGTCTCGCAATTTGCTGGGAAAACTTCATGCCTTTGCTTCGTCAGAGCCTCTATTCGCAGAATGTCAATATTTACCTTGCGCCGACGGCTGACAGCCGTGACACCTGGTTGCCGCTCATGCGGACCATTGGAGGCGAAGGCCGTACGTTTGTCCTTTCCGCCAACCAGTGTGTGCGATACAATGAGCTTCCTTCTTGGATCACCGACCATGCGAAGGCCGAAGATAAAGCCGACGGTAAGATACCTCCTCATCAACTCCTCCTTAATGAAGTACCACAATATTCTAACAAATTGCCAAACACAGGAGAGAGATATATTTGTCGCGGCGGATCTTGCATCGTCGGACCACTCGGTGAAGTTATTGCCGAGCCGACTTGGGAGACTTGCGTTGATGACAAGCTCAAGTCGGCGGACTCAAGCGATATCTCCAGCAAGGATGGTCTTCTGATCCATGAAATCGACCTTGAGGATTGCGAGCGTGGTAGACTCGACATGGATGTTGCCGGTAGCTATTCAAGGAACGATGCGTTTAAGCTGACTGTGGAAGGACTGGATCTGAACCCGCCACCCCTTTTGAGAAAGGAAACCCCCTACAGTAGTACTAGTACTAGTAGCAACTATATAGATACCAGATACCGGAATGATCAAAATACAATTTGGCGCGGGAAATGCTTGTCGGCATTGTTTCAACCCTGCATGATTAAATCGGAGAAAAAAAGTCAGTATCGCACTACAATAACTCAACAACTATCTCTCTGCGCGAAAGTAGCAAGACTTGTTCATTCTTACCCTCCGGGTGGAGTCAGCATGGCGGAGCCGATGTATATCGGCTCCGTTCCAAATTGCAGCCAATAAGAGCGGTTAAACTGTAAGATTTAATGGACCTATCCACCTTCAGGCGCAAAACAGTAGCGGGGTGGACAACCTGGCGATGAACAAATTCGAAATATTTAAGCTCTTGCATCTCCTGAATCCAATTTAATCAACTCAGCCTCCCTTCTACGACTTCTCATCTACTATTTTACCGGCCTTGAAATGACCAAACCAGCTATCGTCATTGTGCCTGGTGCATGGCACAGACCTCAGCACTATCACTATGTCATCGATGGACTCAAAAGGCTGGGATATGAAGCAGAAGGCGTGGACCTCCCTTCTATCGACTCGAGTCCGCCACATTCGACTTGGGAAAAAGATGCCGAAGAAGTCCGTCGTGTCATCTTGAAGTATCTTGATGCTGGCAAGGACGTCATTACAGTCGCTCATTCATTTGGCGGGATTGCCATGGCTGAAGCCGCGAAAGGGCTTGGGAAGGCCGACCGGGAGAAGCAATGCCTCGAATCTTCAGTTCGTCACCTGATCTACATGTGTGCGATGGCTTTACCAAAAGGACAAAGCTATGCAGGCCAGATGGTACCAGCGACCCCCGAAGAAGAGGAGTTGGACAAACAGCGAAAGGAGCTGCAAGAAAAACATGGCGGGATTCAAATTCAAGCGGTATGATGATTGTCACTTTGCTTTGAACAATTCCAAGAGTCAATTTGAATCTAGTATCGAAACTGACTGATCTTGTTTCTTAGGATGGATCGATGGTACTCGATGGAGATGTCTGCAGCCTTGCGCTGTACAACGACTGCGATCCTGGAGACGTGAAAGAAGCAATCTCTCTGCTGGGATCATTTCCGCTTGCCCCATTAGCTGTTCCAGTCACCTACACGGCTTATCTTGAGATTGCGAGCACGTACATTGTGTGCCAGAAGGACCAGGCTTTGCCGGCTTGTGTACAAGAGAGAATCGTAGCACAGGGAAACGGCGCATTTCATGTTGAGCGATGCGATGAAGGTCATTCACCATTCCTGAGCAACCCAAGCTATATTGTGGACTGTGTCCGAAGAGCGGCGGGCGAGGTCATTTAGCTATAACCATGTGTGATGCAGCGACTGGCCGGGTCGCGCTCTCCAGTTCCTTCCAATCTGTTTAGTTAGTATATAGTACTATCAGAAGAACACCATGGTGATAAAATGAGTTAAACAGCCCTAGAGGACTGCTTGATTGAGCGCTAAGAGGGTGCTATGTATTCAATTAATTGTGTGCCATATACTTATAAACCAATAGATGGACGTCCATCTACTAGGTTGACTGCATGACTAGTAGTTATGGATTTAATTAAATGACATCTACTAAATGAGGGGTAGAATCTAGGCTCCAGCCGAATGTAAGACACGCAAGGCTGCCTATCCGGAAGTGAAGAAAGCAAGAGCAACGCATACTCGACCTTAAATAGCCCGTGAGAATCCAATTTGAGTATCCTGTAGAAAAGTTCGTGAATGTGATCATTGTCATGCCCTTTCCACCAGCCCCAACCTCCGAATCCTCCTCTCACACTGGCCAGTGCCATTGTGGCACAGTGCGCTTCAAGTTCAACATATCTCCCCCTCTTCTCCAGTACCCCGTGACTGCATGCAACTGCTCCATTTGCACCAAAAATGGATATCTGCTTGTTTACCCCTTTCGTAAGGACTTTACCTTTGAAAAAGGTCAAGATTCGCTGAAGGAGTATCAATTCGCCACGAAAAATGTTTGGCACCAATTTTGTGGAGAGTGTGGGAGTAGCTGCTTCATTCGCCTCCCAGAGAACTTTCCTCTTCTTTCGGAGGGCGCAGATCCTGTTATTGTCGTGAATGTAAGTTTTCTCAACTCCAATCGCATGAGCGCTTTAATTTTAATGAAATGAAGGTACGGATGTTGGATGATTATGACTACGAAAAGTTGCAGCTCAATAAGGTTGATGGAAGGTCGACCTGATCAGGCAGGAATAAATTGATTTCTGAGATAAGAAATTACATTTAGAAAGAATTTCTATAATCCTTTTGGCATTGTAGTCTTTCCACTTGAAATTCGGTCTTTCTGGTGGGGAATAGCTCAGCCTCTGCGGCGATGCGTCATAATTCAGGCATCAAGGCATGAACTCAGACCTGCTTGGATCAGCGCGAGTAGCCGGAACGAAGTAGCTTCTGACCATATCATGCGAAGTTTTCGGTCTTAAGGCTGATAACAGTCTCATCCAGAAATTACGCTTATATGCCACACCGAGGGGTGGAAGGCTGCTCTACATTCGACTTGCTCTGTCCGACATGTCGTTTCAAGGGGCTGGCATCCCATCGGAGCCGCAGCGTCGACAGAATTCTAGCTGCGATCCTTGTAGGCGCTCCAAACGCCGCTGCTTTTTCTCCTCTCATGCATTCACCGACGCAAATGCCTCCTGCGCGCATTGCACACGACTCGGGCATACATGTACATTTAATTTCGCCTCATCCCGGTTGAACTCTCGACCAAAAAAACGACAACGCCAACTTGAAAATAACTTGAATTCAAGGCCGAACCAAATTCCAACTTTTAACGACCAAACACCATTCGACGACCCGGTGGATACGCCTCGAAGATCCCTGAACAGTACATCTGAATTCACTTCTACGGACACCCATGATGATTTCGTTGCGTGGCTCAATTTTGACATCGACGATTACTTGGCGAGTGATTTACACTCCACCACTACACCCGAGCCAGCGTTGTCAGGCCCACAAATCTCATCTGACTCGCAAAATGATAGGATGCTTTCTGTTTTGCCGACTGAATCGCAGGCAGTACAGCGTCTCCCATACGGGAGAGAATTTGTACCGGGAAGCTCGCCCCGCAGTCCCATTCATTTATTAAATTCAAGATTAGACGCCAGCATCCTCGACGAGCGACTTATAAGCATATACGAAGCGATTCTAACTGGGTCTGCGAAACGCTTCCTAGATTGCGACACTAATCTATATGCAACGGGAATTCGTTACGAGATAGAGAACAGCAGGCATGAAAGCTCGAATGAGCCAACACCAGTCACGAATCCATCCCCCTCGGATAAAGATGAATCTAACTCTCCTTCGCACTCCTTTAATACATCAGGGCAATTGCAGGCTCGGATGAAACCAGGTTTCTCTGGGGGTCAGACGCGCAGAGAAGGCAATGGCATGACGATTGTGGGATGTGCAAGGTTCCTGGACCACTTTGGGGATCTTTATGGAAATAGACTGAGCCAAGCTTCGAAACGAAGGTCCGACACGGCCCTCAGGGCTGCACTGCGATTGTTTGCTCTGCAATGGCTACCTATCACTGGGTCTGAAGTCGACCGTTGGGCTTCTCCAAGTGACGCCACCGTTGCCAGACTTCACGAGAAAAAGCCACCACGGAGCTCTCCATGTGAGTTCTATACTGATGCATGGAACCAAGCCCGGATGGCCATCGATGAGGCAAGATCTGTTCGGTCTTTTCGAGCTGTTTTTGCAGCCTTTATCTTCGACGGAACCGCCATTCCCATCAGCGCTCGCAATGATTCGAGGGAGACAAGTATAGAGCATGAAATTCTCGTTATTGGTCTGCAGAAGCTACATGAACTAGATAAGCTTGTTCAGGATTACTGCACTGCCCTAGGACCATTCTCTCAATACGGCGCTCTTGCAGAAGCCAGCCTCACTCTAGTGCGTTGGAGTGGGTATATTCGTGACACCGGAGCTGCTTTGATGTCAAATCACCAGTGCCGACTTCCAGATCCTCTTCACGATATGAATAGTGAGCTCAAGCACAAACCGGTAGAATTCGATTAGAAAACAGTGCTAAAACATCCCAGCATTTAATCGTGACAACTCAGCCCCATCAACATTTTTCTCGGAGAGTCCGGGAGAATACGACCGCAAAATCCCAGAAATATGTCGAATGATGGCATCGGAGGCTTTCTTTATTTGGAGGCGGATTGCGGATTTGAAGAATGACCTCCAGCGTTCCTATAAGAACCCCCAGGGTCTTGGCTCCGAAATTCTCGATTCGGTCAATTATGTGGTAAATCTGATTGGAGCTTTCAATGAGAAGGTTCGACCTTTCATCGAGCGCTGCAGAGCAAATTTCTATGATCTTTCTATGCCATCAAGGGTATCCTGCGGTATGACCCCTACCATCTCGCCATCCATGTATCCTTCACTGACGAGTGGTAATAGTCTCCCTTGTTGTGCCATGGGATATGGGGGTCCTTGTCCTTGCAGACTCTTTGGGTCCTCATATTAATTCCATGTTAAATGACTGTGCGCAAGACTTCGGTCAACCTATACGACAATATCAGCGCGAAGCGGCTTTTTCCGTCGCACAGACAGCTAGACGGGTGCTTGATTTGCCCATTGAGGAGGCGTTCAATCTGCAAAATGGACTTGCGTCTGAAGCTCCAATCACCGCCTATCATGTGACCCCAAGGATCATGACAACGAGTATCGAGAAAGCCGTGGTATACTTTGCCCGACTTCAAGTTTCCAGGGGGACTGGAATTTGGGATTTTGATAATGACGCCAATTGTCTCCCAGGTGATCTATGGCATGATCAAATTGATTGTCTCATGAAGGGCCTTCTATCTCTCGAGGTAACCGTTGGAGGATCTCAAGAAGCTGGGCAGGTTTTGAAGTCCTTATTGTATAAGTATGGGGATATCATATCGGAATGCTGGTCTAATGATTTTGACACATAGATGGGACAGATGCATAATGAATCAACTTCACTCTCAATGAAATACTGAACTCTTTCAATAACTAGCGCTGTTTCTAAGCAGAAAATAATATCAATCTCATTTCTATCCGCTGTGCTGTATTGTGTAGTCAAGGTCGCCGAGTCCGATGGAGCCCCGAATGGGAACTCCACTTGTCTCCGAACTCCACCTTTCCTCCCGTAAACGAGCCGAATCAAACATCTACAACTCCCATCACCAAAGTAATAGTCTTACCGACTGACATTATGGTCGCCGAAAGTCTGGGAAACCGTCGATCGGCATGCGACCGGTGCAGGCGTCACAAGCTCCGCTGTGAGCGTGGCCATGCGGTGCAGTGCCGTCGATGCGAAAAGATCAACGCCGAATGCCTCACAAGCCCTGCTCTCAGATCTGGTCGCCCTCAACACTTGAGCGATGCGGGGGATTCCCATATTCAATCCCCCAATGGCCATGGAGAGCCCTCTTCTGTAACTCCAACGCTAGATGCGAACTTGCTGCCGTTGGCTACTCCCCTGAAATTAATACCTCCGAGTCCGACTCGGCCCTGCCGCAGCTCATCTCTCCCGCCAATATGGACGACTTCAATCACTTCTGGTTGCAAAACTTTGGCCAAGACCTTACTTCAACCGCGCTACCTGATCCTGTGCCTATGACTCCACCGTCTGAGGCCCGGGACGATTGCTTGAGAAAGTTAGGCAATCTTCAAGCCAGTGTTGTTGCCGGCCTCGAGACTGTCAAGTGCTGCATTACTGCCGATAAATGCCCCGAGGCACTTAACTCATCGGGATTAAACCCTGTCACGAGTCAAAATCTCATGATCGGGCGGATGTTAGACTATTCCACGTCTTTGATTGATATACTGAATCAATTTCAGCCTTGTGCCAGCTCTGCGCCGTTTGAATTGACTTGCGATACACCGACCATGTTCGTGCTGCTTTCATGTTACATTGGCTTGGTACGAATCTATCGAACGATTCTATCCTGCGTACTGGACTGTCTCCCGATTCTTCTGGGAATACAACATCCGATACCCCAATTGTTCCCTGGTATGAATCTCGGGGGCTTCAAATTGGAGGCTCGACTTGATATTCAAGTAAAGATTCTTGTACAAATAAGCGACGACATGCTCGGAAAGATTGAATCAAGATTTGGCCTTGTTGGAAATATCTTTCAGCCCACATGGGGTGATGCTGACCCAGGGCAAGGCAGCTCGAATATTATCAACTATGTTGGAAGAAGAAGCCAATGAGCAACCTCCACTATACCAGCCCAGGGGACACTGTGATCCACTCAAATCTATCCTTAATCGGCTAAAGAACTCTGTCTAAGAGCATCATTTGATGATCATGTGTCCGGTGTGACTTCGGAACGTTTTTCGGACTTGCCGAGTCAACCCTATAAAAGGCATTTCCACCACCATCGACTTCAAGTAATTTTCCGAAGTTCATTCGCCTCGATTTATATCCCTCTATTTAAGCAAATTCACAATGATATCAACACCACCCGACGGAGATGCAGCGATGATATGGTGGTCCGGCCGCCATCCTCCCGCAAACCCCACTGAGTCCTTTGCCGGCAAGACGATTCTCATTACCGGAGCCAATGCTGGACTCGGATTTGAAGCATCTCTTAAATTCGCTGCACTGGGTGCCTCTCGTCTTATATTCGGCGTCCGGTCTCTCAGGCGAGGCGAAGAGGCTCGCGCTAAGATATGCCGGCAGACTGGCTATGATAAGAACAACATTCAATTATATGAGCTTGACATGAGTACATTTGATTCTGTTAAACGGTTCGCTGCGGCGATCTCCAAAGAAGAGAGGATCAACATTGCCATCTTAAACGCAGGCGTGGCATCGCCATCCTTTCGCCTTGGCCCGGAAGGTCATGAGATGACGGTTCAAATCATGGTTCTCTCTACGGCGCTACTGGCGGTTTTGATTATTCCACAACTTCGAAAATCGGCCAAGATATCCAAAACTCCAGCCCACCTCGAGATAGTGGCAAGCATTGCTTGCCGCTCCGCTAGGATTGATTGTTTCTCGCAAAGCAATGACGCAGTCTTGGACCAAGTTAACCAAGCCAAATTCTTCGGTGTACAGCGACAATACCAGATTGCGAAACTGTTTCAAATGTACATTTTGGAGGGTATCATACAAGGAACTGACTCGTTTGAACTGGACCAAGGTGATCCTGGTATTATCATCAATGCGGTCTGTCCTGGCCCTTGCAAAACAACACTGGGCCGCGATTTCCCCACCATCCTTCAGCTTCCGATGATCATGCTCCAGTCGCTCTTCTTTCGTACAGCAGAACAGGGAGCAAGGAGTTACGTGAGCGGCGCAATTCTGGGCCCTGAGGGTCATGGCAAGTTGTGGAACTCTGACACATTTCTCGAGTACGTTCAACACCAAGCAGTTTATTAATCAGTTTTTCTAACCAGAGATATAGCACGGGTGAATCATGCACAAGCGTACAGGGAAAGGCTATGCAGAAGAAGGTATGGCAGGAGATCGTCGAGTTGCTGCGGCCACATGCCCCAGAGGAAATATTGAAACCTTATATGCTTTGAGATGTTACAAGAAGAGAAATGTCCCGAAACCAGAGGCAATGCAATGTACAAAATTGACCAGGCTCATACTCCGCCACCGAATGCAAACAGCTTAAACAATGCCATATCCTTTCCACCAAACGCCCCAAATTAGGGGACCCAGTGCACCCAGTACCGCTGGACCAAAAGACAACTCCAGAATAAACCAAATCCAAACCGTTCCATATGCAGGTGCCTTTTTCATAACAGCGTAGTAGGGTTCTCCGTTTGTTACGGTAATCAGATGGACTCCAAGCATAATAGAGATTGGTAGAAACACGAGTGTGCGAATAGAAGGTGGAAAGATTAGTCGTCGCAAGAAGGAGACTGTGAGTTTGTCTCGAGTAATCGGGATGAGTGAAATGGGCTGCGCACTTTCGGCCAGAAGGTTGGAAGTGCTCCGTAGTCGGAAGGAAAAGATGTGGCCGTGAACAAGATGCACAAGGAATGTCAAGAGAGGGAATGTGAACATGATAGAATCCTTTATTATTTGAATGGCATCCGTTGATTCGGCGTATTGGTATGCGGCTAGGTAGGAGAGTGTGCCGTGGAGTGTTGTGAGGGGCATCGAAAGAAGGACGGTATCGATGAAGGGTGGGAGGGGATTATCGACGTCGCTATCCTCATCATCGACATCGTCTTTGATCGAAGATTGGACCTTGCCACCAGCTTTATGTTTCTGTGAATCTTCATCCACCAGTTCATCATTGTCGATGTTGCCGTCCGTCTCGACAATGTTCCCAGACGCGTCGACAGTTACGAACCGCGTTCCCTTCCCCATGGGCGGTAATTCTTGTCCAAGCGGTATTCCCGGCATTCCTCTCGCCTTGTTTGCCTTGTCTGCCTTTGCCTGCAGCTCATTTTGGCGCTCTGCAATGATGTCATATAGTGTTCGCTCGCTGGCTTTCTGGGGTGGGTTATCGCGTGGGGGATGAGCAAGAGGGATATCGATCTCATGGACTGGGGAGGTTGATGATAGTGAAGAGGTTGCCGCTGCAGCACGGCGCTGCTTCCTATTCCTGGGTGCGTCCATGATGGGTGGAGTTGGGGGGTGTGGGGGGGGGGGAAAGAAATAAAGATTGAAGATTGAAGATTGGAGATTGGAGATTGAAGATCAGGGTGAGCTGGCCGGAGAGCAAAAGTCGAGGATCGGTGGGGCGGTGTTTAGCCGGAGTTAAGCGATGCTTGCACTCTATATGATAAACTTGAATACAGCTATGGATGAACCATCAACGAATCCCTCGGTTTCTAAGTGGTTTCTTTACCTTCTGTCTCTGTATACTTCTTCTCCAATCAAAAAGAAGTCAATTTTGATTCTTAAGTTTCCATCGGTAACTTGAAATCATCTCGTGATACATACTAACCAGGTTCGACATAATCTCTTTACAGTGGCCGTCGACTTTTATAGCCATTATGACAATGCAATCCCAGCCTCTCAATTCATACTCATGCAAGACATTCAAAATTCTAAAGCCTTGGTGTTCATTCAGGCAAATTCTAGCACCTACATGCCCAGGTAGTAGATCATCTGCATCCCCCAATGCGGGCGGGGAAGCGGTGGCACATTCGCCTCCGCGCAGCTTATCAGCGCAGCACGGGACCAGCACTGGCAATCAACCAGACAAAGTGAATGCGTGCATTAGGGTAGCTAGGTTATTTAGTGGGAAGTGATCGGTGATCCCCTTATCTTCATCCCCTCTCACTTCCCCCCTGCATTTCCCCTCTCCAATAATCTCCTCAACCATTCCGGTCCCCCATCGCCTACGCATTCGATATCATGGCCAACAGTCCTCGAGAGCTCCACCCTGCATCTGTGGCCGTGAACAAGGATGATTTGGTGATTCCTGTAAATCCACCCTTGAGATTGTCGGTCGGTGGAGTTGAGATGTTAGGATACTCAAAAGGCTCACTCGAGACACCTCTAGCTGATAGACTTCGGTCCCTTTTTTTCGGGAACTCCGTCTGACAAGCATGCCGTCGCCTTATCCATCACAGAGGCGTTCAAAACCTCCGGCTTTCTCTACTTAAAAAATCACGGAATACCACCATCGGTTGTGTCTCAGGTGTTCTCTTCATCTGCTCGATTCTTCGATCGCCCCCAGGACCAGAAGAACGGTTTAGGATGGACAACCCCACAATCAAATCGTGGATACGTTGCCATCGGGCGAGAAAAGCTCGCTACCCTTGATGAAACAGGTGAGATAGATACTCGCCGGAAGTCTGCACCCGACATCAAAGAGACTATGGAGATTGGCCGGGAGGACGTAGATGGCTTGCCGAACCGCTGGCCTGACCATCTCGATGACGAAGGCAAAAGGTTCAAGGAAACAATGCTTGCGTTTTTTGAGATGTGCAAAAATCTACACAAGCAAGTCATGAACTCGATCGCCCTTGGCATGAACCTGCCCGAGCACTTTTTCGACGAATTTGTAAGTGATGGCGATAATAACCTTCGCCTTTTGCATTATCCGCCCGTCCACAAAGATGTCTTCAAGAAGAACCCCGACCAAGTTCGCGCTGGTGAACATAGTGATTATGGCTCGGTTACACTGCTCTTCCAAGATCGACATGGGGGCTTGCAAGTGCGCAGTCCCAGGGGATCGTTTGTTGACGCCACTCCAATCGCCGATACAATCGTGATCAATGCCGGCGACCTGCTCGCGCGCTGGTCAAACGATACTATTAAGAGTACCCGCCATCGAGTAATACAACCACCCAAGCCCGAGGACGAGGAGAGCTCGTCCGACATCTACCCTTCACGTTACAGCATTGCGTACTTCTGCAACCCCAACAACAATAAGGTCATCAAGGCCCTACCAGGAACGTACGGTGAAGATATCCATGTTGCAAAAAAGTACACAGACGTTACCGCGGGCGACTATCTAGTCCAACGACTGACAGAGACCTATTGATCATCAACCTTGGAACTCCTTTCTTCGCCAGAACCCTTGCAGTCGGTACCCGATGGGACACCAAAAGTCGGTGAAACTCCATATCGATCGATCTCGATCAGTCTGTTCAAACAGTACAGCACATTTATTCATTTATTTATCAGAAGTGTCTATGCAAAGTCATCCCCTTTAAACGGCTGCAATACAGCTTGTAGACTCAACTCTGGATGGTACAGGGTAGTCAGAGGTCCCTAATACGTGTTTGGGACTACACTGACGCGACCACCATCGGTAAGCATGATGGCGCCATTCAAGTAACCACCCGAGGCACTCGCCATCCACACGATTAGACCAGCAAAGTCTTCCTCACTTCCACTGCGTCTAATAGGGATCATTTCTCGTGGGAACGAGCCTTCGTTGACCCCGCTGCCTTCGATGCCCTTATCTTCGAAAATATGGTTGGCCATATCGGACTGGTATAGACCAGGCGCGATGCCATTCACCCGAATATCGTAGTCCGCGAGAGTAGTAGCGAGCATCTTGACGAGATGCGTGGTGGCAGATTTAGACGCATTGTACGCAAAGCTAAAAGGCACTTTGCGAATAAACCCTGCGATCGAACTAGTAATGACGACTTGTGCAGTTGGAGGGGTCAACACCCCCGCTTGAGGTGCCGGTCGTCGCTTGTTTGCTGCCTCCAGCAATGGTAAAAACGCCAGCACAGTGTAATAAGACCCAGTGACATTGACATTCAAGACATCGGTGAATGCCTCCATTGGTTTACTAAACAACTCCTCGCGGAGCTCGCTCAGAGAAGGAGGGGTTCCATCGGGTTTCTGAGACGGCCGCATCAATGGTCCTAGGACTCCACCATTCGCAAAAAGAATATCAACGTGGGTGGTCTGCTCAGCGACGGCCTTGTATGCAGCCTCGAGCGACTCTTTGGAGGTGACATCACACTGAACGGGGATCACGACGCCGGGAGTAGATTGAGTGGCCGTCTCCTCCAGGGCATTGACACGACGTCCAAGAACAAATACCTTCGCGGCACCGTTGACCGCTAGAGCGCGGGCCATAGTCCGACCGAGACCTGTTGAAGTTGTACGATTAGCATCAATCTCCTATCGTGGAGTATTGCTAAGGTGATGCCTTACCACTACCTCCACCGGTAATGACAGCCACACGGTCCTGGACCGAGAACAGATTCGAAGCAAGCAGATTGGACATTTTTGCAGATGGTAAATTTGCAAAAGAAGGGTGGATGGATGATGGATTACGAATGAGAGGAAGATTTGGGGTTCACTTCCTATCGGTGTAGCACAATCCGGGAACTGTAGGGGTTGCCCTTCCCCGCGATCGCCTTCCCCACCGGTCCCCCCGAGGTCGGCGCACCGCCGATCCGAACTTATGTGCAATACAAAATAAATACACTTGGACCGATGGGATATCATTTTCACTCCGGAGTTCTTGCCGATATGTCAATTCTAGCCCATCGAGGAACTCGTTTTCAGAACATTGATTCTTCAAGCAGTGCAAATATCACTGTCTGTTGTCTGCCCTTTCGTATTTCATGAAGTATCAGGAGTTATCAAGAAGGAGAGGATAAAAACGAACGTGAAGACGAACATGTCAAAGCACGAAAATAATAATCATATAGTCCGGTTGCTTTGTGTCCTAAATTAACATGGTGTCCTGAGCTATAACCTGTAGGTCGGGCATAATGATCTCCTTGGCCTCAAATGGCCGTAGGGCAGGCAGGCACAGAATAATAACAACTTGAATAGAACATCCACAATTTCCCATCTTTTGTCCCTGGTCCATGATCCGAAACATCCGGGGTCGGATTTGATTTCCATCACCAACAGCTGCCCACTCGGCGAAACCACGTACACCAGGTCGACGTCATTACCGGGGTCATCCGTCATTCTAAAAGACATTCGAAAATTGGAGCTTAGGTTCAAGGAGTAACTTTCTATATCCATGGTGCCTGGTTTTGGTATCCAATCATGCAGAAGAGTTGCTTCCAGGGCTACGGACAACAAATACCTGTACACGATGCGGTATAGTCCTAGAAACTGGGCCCAGTGATTATTCCAGGACGATCAGCGCAGAAGCATTCTCATCTCTATGATAATGGGCTGGCTAAGATTTATGAATAGTACAGGACGCATTTGGTTTGTGATACCGTAGTGTTAAGATTATCGCCTTCGAGTCTACAATCTCCGATTGAATGACTTCGATACATGACTGTCCTATACTCTGAGGTCAACATCCGGCTTAGCCTAACTAACTATCTGGTAGGCTTGACACTTACGTCAACTCTATTCCATGACATAATAGTACGATTTTATTTCTCGTTACCTACTATTAGCATATATCTATCATCGAAGGTCTCCGGCGCCGTCCGGCGGGCCACTCACCTACAGCACACCCAGCTTTGCAGTTGAGTATCCTGAGACGCAAGAAGATTTCATTACCGTTATATACTATATACCACTATATCGTCGTTTATGTGCAGCTGAAATGCTGGGTTCTTTGCTTCTCCTGAGCCTAGTAGGCTCACTTTCCTTCACATCTGCATCCCCACACAAGAACTCGCATCATACAACTACGGATTTGGATTCGGTATCTGAGGCTTTGATTACCGGACCATCGACTCGATCTCATCCTAGTTCTCAACTTCACACTCCTTTCAGCGGCACTCCATCAACCACAGGTGCTCTGACTGCCACCTCTGTTGGAAAGGGCATTTCAGGTGAAGAGGTCCTCCCGGCAGCTACTACTTACCCCAGCGATGGAAAACTTCACAATGCTGAGCCCGCCCCCCTATGTTCCTGCCGGAGGGGTCGGGACAAATGGAACTATTCCAGTCTACAATGTCAAAAGTGACTTTGACTATGAATCCCTTGTACGTACTCATCCTGTCTAGGGGCGTGGAGCGCAACGCTGTTATTGATGAAGAATAATAGGCACTTGCATTGTATCAGGAATGGATTGAGCTTGATCTTTTCCAGGACGGACTACAACGTTTCTCGGTAGAAGATTTCAAATCTGCCGGTCTAACCTCTACAGATCGAGATCTAATTGCCTTCATGGCGCAGCAAGAGGTTGGACACGCAACAATGCTGAGCAATATTCTCGGTGCCCAGGCCCCACAGCAATGCACCTACCATTATCCCTACCGCAACGTTACAGAATTTCTCGATCTCTGTCAGGAAATCACTCGCTTTGGCGAAGCTGGAGTTTACGGTTTTTTGGCTCATCTGGATTCTCGAGAGGCGGCCACACTGCTGACCCAGTCGATCACAACCGAAGCACGACAACAATTGATCTTCCGCCAGTTCCTAGGGCTCTTCCCCATGCCCGAGTGGTTTGAGACTGGCATTCCCCAATCCTGGGCATGGTCACTTCTGGCACCTTTTATCAGCTCGTGCCCATTTAACCAGACCCGTCTGGTCTGGCAAAACTTCCCAGAGCTCAGGATAATCAACCAACCCGCCATCTTGAATGGAAGCTCAAACAACTGGAACAGTACGGCCAGCGCAATGTCGAGCCGCTATTGGTATCGCCGTAACTGGAAATGCAGATATGCACCAGAGAACTATCCAGCTCTCTCTTTCCCTGGTCGTCAAGTTGTATTACAATGGGACAGCCCGGGCTCGGAAATTGGCCCCAACAACAGCTATATCACGACATCACAGGCAACCAGACCCAAGTTTGTTGTCTGGGTTTCTCAACTCAATGTGACCTACACGCCGCTGCGTATTGGCCATGGACATCGCGGTTACACTCACCAACCCAATCTGGAAACCTACCAAGGTGACCCCGCGATCAATGGTACTATGTTCATTGCCATTACCGACCACGATCCATATTTGACGCCATTCAATCTGAGCCTGATCAATCCTCACGTCGTTGCTGGGCCTGCTATCTATCAAGCAGGCTAGGTAATATCAGAATGGGGGAGCAGACCTGGAGGATAGGAAATTTTCGGCGACAGGTGCTTGGGAATAAGAATTTTGTTTTGTAATTCCCAATGGTGTGCTTTCGACTTGATGACCGAATTCAAAAGTAAAATGATGCCTTTTCTTAGAACTGCAGGAAGTTTGCTTTCTTTTTCCTAATGTACGTCACAGCAGTTGCGTGGCACATGCGACTTTTCCCTTGCCGTAAAATTCTCTTCTAGAGCTTGCTATTCATTTCATTACTCGTTGTGTACAGATACTGATGCCACGCGAGAATATTCCTGTCAGGAACAGGCGATCCGTCTTGACATCATGCACGGCGATGGTAGTGGAGGGCATGAGCTCGCCATCTTCATCTGTAATCAAAAAATAGGCTTGATATCCCTGCTCTTCTGACTGCTCTGGATTAATAGTTTCCCTTTTGGCTAAAAGCAGAGTTGCTCCAGGCACTGGGTCTAGCGGGTTTGTCGACGCTTTCATCAACTCTAACGAGTCTGGAAATGAAGTAATGACGATGCTATCCTCTGCATTGACAGAGATCCGATCGATTCCCAACGACGTTCTGAACGAATCCAAGAGTTTGAGTTCTCCATACACCATTTCATAGACAAGAACTACCCCGGAGACGCCAGACACGTAAATGTGATCTTGGCTATCGATTACGATGCCATTTGCATATCCAAAGCCCTTGGTGGTAACCAGGCGACATTCCCCCGAATCTGTTTGGCATTCCGCGAGATTCGCATCGCCCACTACCTCTTTTCCGCCTCGGAAGGGTCCAACTTTTGTGACGTGATCGTTGATCACGAGGATCGCATCCCCTGTAGGGTCCACGGCTAGATTGTTTGGTGAGTCCAAAAGCTCGCTTGATATTGTTTTGACGGGTACAAGAGCACCAGCGTCCTCGTCCAAGTCAAACACTTCCACAGTATAGTTCTTTTTCTCGTCTATGATTTCTCCCGTGTCTGCATTGACGGATGGCCTGTGGTTGATCAGCCAAAAACGAAGCTGATCTCCGATGCGGCGTGCGTCTAGCCCATGAAGGTCCAGTTCTCCTTCGAAGCCATCTGCGAGCTCTAATCGATGCAGATTGTAGGCATCATCTTGCCCTGGCGGCGAGTCAATCTCCATCACACTGACATGATCTCTGCGTGCCACGATTGGATAATCGGATTCGACGGCAGTATCCGTGTGCGTTGAAAAATTGGAGCACGCCCCGTAGAGCTTTCGATTCTTATGATCCAACCACAGGTGCTCGCATCCCTCCATGAGAGGATGTTCGAGGCGTGCACATCTCCAGGAGAAGCCACCGAAATCCTGGTCGGTTGAGATGGGGGCTGATTTTACGAAAGCAATATCATGGATAAATAGTTTGTAGATAATGGCGAGAATCAACACGATTCCCGTCCCATGAACCAGACGAAAGCTTCGCCTGCTTGGCTGCAGGCTGGCTAGAGCCATGATGGAGTCAATCTCTCATGTAGGAATTGGAATTGATGAGAATGTGTGGTGTGAAACATCCTTACGAGTCTGCTTCTGGGGCCGCCTACGACTTGGGCAAGTCTATTGGTAGATCGTTAGGACCAGGCTTGTCTGGCCCCTGTTCTGGTGGACCCTGCGGCTCCCCGCATGGGGAATGCAATGGACCCTGAATTACCGCATCCATCTGACAGGCGAACGGACCGGTAGTAGTAGTACATAGCAGCAGTAGCAATAGACCATAATTTGGTCGCAATGAAACAAGCGTACGAGTACGGAGTCGGAGTGATTATAATATGGACAAGAGACCCACTGCATTTTGTTATTTTGTTCCACGAGGGCTCCACGTTGTCATTAATAAGCAGTGAGCTCCCGCGACCCTCGGCTTGTTTGCGAAACGTGCCCCTCTTTACTCTTACTTGTCTTACTCTTTACTCCTTCTTCTTCTCTTCCCCTCTACTTCAATCAATTCTTCCTTGACTTTCTCAATTGCAAATCTTCAACTCTTTGCCCATCATGCCTTACCACGCCTCCGTCATGTACCCCAACGATGATGACATCACCTTTGATGAGTCCTACTACCTCCAGACTCACATGCCTCTAGTGGAGTCAATCTGGAAGAAGTACGGCCTCGTCAGCTGGAAGATTATCAAGTACACCACTGCCCTCGATGGCTCTCCCTCCAAGTTCCTGATTGCCGCCAATTTGGAATGGAAGAGCGAGGAGGATATCAAGTCTGCTCTGCAAGACCCCGAGACCCCCAAGATCTTCGCCGACATCCCCAACTTCACCAACAAGCAGCCCATCACTCTGGGCGGTCCCGCTCTGTCCTAAATTTGGGTTTCATTGGTGTGAGTCTGGAGTTTCATGATGTGAATTGTGAATTGTGCTGATAAGAAGCTTAAGGGGCCAATGCTGTCTTCGCCTGTGAAGCAATGCCGCATGATACCGATGTCGTGATGAGACAACTGTTATGTTAGATAAACAGCACTATTTGTTCGGATGATTTGTTCTATTCTGTCATTCTCAATACTGCATTGACTTCCGTTAGGAAGTGCTTCAATCCAATTTTGCACAGAACTGTCTAGATTGACAGCATGACTACAATACCTATTCCCAGTGTACTAGTATACTTCCAGAAGAAAAGGCATAAACGTAAAACATAACCTCGGAACAAGAAGTCTTCCATACTCCAATTCACGATAAGGGGCAGCCCTCGTTCAGCCTCCCAGTGATAACCAAAAATGCAACCATCCCATGAGATACCCCTCTCTCCTGCCTCTCCCCGCATGCCCCTGCATCTGCATCTCTTATCTACGCAGCCTAACCACGACAACCCACCATTTCCTTCTTCTCAGACTGACTTTACCCTCTACCCATCTTACCTATCCTCACCATGGCACGACCCTTTGTCGTTGACATCCACACCCATGTCTACCCTCCCTCGTACATGGCGATGCTTCGCGATCGCAAGACGGTACCATATATTCATGACCCAAGCGACAAGGGAACTCCCCGGTTGATAATTCTCTCATCCGACGATGACCCCGCAATCCCCATCGATCAACGCGGTCGGCCCGTGGACTCATCTTACTCAGATATCAATGTTAAGCTGGATTTCATGAAAAAGCACGACATCGACTGCAGTGTGATCTCCCTCGCAAATCCATGGCTGGATTTTCTGTCTCCGGACGAGGCCCAAACATGGGCCCGGCTCATCAACGATGATCTCAACGCCACTTGTGCGAATGTAAATAGCGCTGCTGATCCAGATAATACCATTCCACTCCAGCAAAAGAGATCACTCTTCGCATTTGGCGCTTTACCTTTAAGCGCGCCGACTCCAGATATCATCGTTGAGGAAATCCACCGACTCTCGAGTTTGCCGCATATCCGGGGTGTCATTATGGGGACATCGGGGTTGGGCTCTGGCCTCGACGATGGGAATCTTGATCCAGTATGGGCAGCACTGGAAGAGTCTCAGCAGGTTTTGTTCCTACACCCACACTATGGTCTTCCCGATGAAGCATTTGGAGGGCCCGAGATAACGGCTCGTTACGGTCATGTCCTCCCACTCGCCCTGGGTTTCCCTCTAGAGACGACTATCTCGGTGACTCGGATGCTTTTGAGCAGGGTTTTTGATCGCTTTCCCCGACTGCGGATCTTGCTTGCTCATTCGGGTGGAACGCTCCCATTTCTAGCCGGAAGGATTGAGAGCTGCATTGCGCATGAGCGGAAATTCAAGGAGAATGGCGGGGACGTTCCTGGGCCCCAGAGGAGTGTCTGGGATGTTCTCAAGACGAATATTTATCTTGATGCTGTCGTTTATGGTAAAGCTGGGCTTCAGGCAGCTATCGCGGCCGGTAGTACCGATCGTTTGCTTTTCGGTGAGTTTGTGAGAATGGTTTTTTCACTTCAGATTGCAGCTTCTAATATCTTTGTCCGCTAGGAACTGATCATCCCTTCTTTCCACCCCTCGGAGACGAGAATGAGAAGTGGTTAAGTGTTACTATCAATTACGCGGCTATCGATGATACACTCAAGGAAGATCCGGCTTCAGTTGCTGCGGTACTTGGAGGTAACGCGGTACGCATTCTCGATCTTAAATAAGGGAGTAGTAAGTGCAATTATCGATCTAGCTATAGGCGTATTTATATTCATCATGGGATATAAGCGTAAATAATGGCACACCATTCCCACGCACTTCGTCTCAAACAATCTGAACTTTTGGTTCAATATGGAATCAGGTAGCTCAACGACAGTCCACAATGCTGTTCAACATATCCCAGCCTACTAGGGACCATAACTCTTGTGTAAACCACTCTGAAAACGAGAAAATTTCACCTCCATTTACATCACAATCTTGAGGCGGCGGCGTTGCTGGACGTTTCAAGCCATCCTGGAACAGCGGTTCATCCATCCCAAAAACTGCTTGCAGAAGAGTCTTCTGAAGTTGATCTTTTATTCCACAGACGAACTGAGCTTTTGTGGCGGAGTACTGTGATGTATAAGATGCCTCGTTGATAAATAGGCCCTTGAGAAGTTTAACAAGATGGCTCGCTTCGCATTTCCCAATGTCCGGTGATAACCCTTCCTGCTGCATTAAGGCGAGTCCTTCGGGAAGCTTCATTTCCGGACAAGCTTCGAGTGGCAGCTGAATATCTTGAAAGACTAAAAGAGCCAGCATCTTGCCGACTCTACCGAGGACGACGAAAAGAAACCCCTCCATGATCTTCTGATCATCCTCTTTTGGTCAGATCCAATGACGTCGCCATTTTGCATAGGAGCTTGGTCAACTCTTGAGCAACTTCGTCTTCACCTTTTGTTGAAATATGAGATTGAGAGATTGTCGGGGATCTCTTCTCTGTCTTGGACCTTCGGACTTGGGTAGTCGCTGACTTTTGAAGCTGGTCGGTCTTTTCGGTTCCAATTCTGGGCTTCGATATAGCCGTGCAATACTGAGTAAGACCAATCGTGATCGACTCAAAAAGACACACAATGTAGTAGATGATTTGACCTTTGCCCTGACCAGGAATATCGCCTGGGTTGGAAATTTTGTGGAGCGCTCGGTATGCAAGATGAAAAGCAAGCTCAACACCTTCAAAGATGGCACTGGTGCTTTGCTCCGTAGTGACGGGGTCTGCGGCGTTATTTTGGCATTTCGAGTTGACTTTGAGTTGTATGAGATCAAGAAAAGAATGCTCTGCCTCTTTGCACAATATCACGGCGTTGGTTGCCAAGTTCTTTTCATTCCGTCTCTTTTGCAGGGCTCGCTGCATGTTATAGATTTGTCTCAGAAAGGATGTTGCTGATAAGAATTAGCAGATACAGAAATCGATTTCGATATGTGGCCTTACTTCGTTTCTCGTCATGCGTAGACTCTGCATCCTGTCGTTCGGCACCGGGGTCCTTGCGTGAAGGGTTCTTGGAGAGGCTCGGCCGCGCTCGTTTGCTGTTGATCCTGGACGGAGCGACAGGCTCAAGCACGCCGGATGCTTTGCGTTTGATTGAAGATGAAACGGAAGCATTTTCGCCAGAGGTAGTCAGTTTTGTTTTCGCAAGAAGACTCAAGTTGCGCTGTTCCAAGTCGTACATGGCGTTGAGCAGCTTAGCATGCTCGGCCTCTGACTTCTCGTAAGCGGATTTCCAGAAGTTGACACTGTCAAAAAACTTTTCTTGGCAAGACATATCCAAATCCTTTTGCGATTTGATGAAATTTCGGATCCGGGAGATGTAATCTGCAGGGCCATTGGAAGGTTTGTGAGTCTGCTGCAAGGTGAAGCATCAATCGGATCACTGACCTTTGACTTCAGTGTCGGGAGGTTTGTCCTTGACAATTGCTAGTGCCAGGGCCAAGTGAGCCCGGTCCGGTCGAATCATTGCCCGTGGGCCTGTTGAGGAAGCCATCCGTCTACAACTTGAAGGTCCACAGGTGCAGGGTGTAGATGGAGGGAAATGGAACTCGGCTGTAGCCCAGTACTAGCAGGGGCAGGAGAGCACGTGCCGGGTCAGGCTTAGTACCCTGGAGGCTTTCATTTGGTACTAGTATAAAACTAATCAAGCCATGTTGGAATCGAATGAATAGTATACTCTCAGACTAGTACTGATACCTAGCCCCTTGAACACCAGTGTGCCATCATTTTAGCGGACCGGAATACCTACCTAGGTAGATATATAGTTCCAGCCAGACGCGTGTATTTCCGAGTTATCCAACCTTGGAACCAGGCAACAAACGGCCCAATAACAACAAAATAGAAAGGTATCTACCTAGGTACTCTAAATATTCGAACGAATTGAATCAACCTCAAGTTCTTTCTTTAAGGAATTGTTCCAAGCCAAGGAAAGAAACTCGTATCAACTCTAAATGCGCAAGTGGAGACAACTGCGTCTTTGGTGTCTAAACCCCACCGTAAAAATTCAATCAAGTCACCCAGACCAATCTAAGCCTGTCCAAGCTCCATTTCATCACATAAAACCGTCAAGATGTCTACAGACGATCTCAAGGCGCACGCTGCGTCCAGCCAGGACTTCTATGCTTTGCCAGATCTCTCGCCGTCCGCAACGGATTCCGAGATCCGCCGCGGTTACCGCAAAGCAGCACTGAAATACCACCCCGATAAAATCGCAAATCCAACACCAGCCGACATCGACAAATTCCACCTGCTCCAAATCGCAAACGATGTTCTTTCCGATGCCTCGATCCGGCAACTCTACGATAATGCGCGTGAGGCACGACTGCGCAAGCAGCGCGAGCGCGAGCAAATGGGCGCGGCGAAGCGTAAAATGCGCGAGGATCTTGAAGCTGCCGAACGGGCTGGCGCTGCTGCTGCTGCGGGACAAAGGGGTGTAAAGAGATCGTGGGCATCTGCTGATGATGACGCCGAGGTCAAACTACAACGGGAAATTGAGCGGATTGCGGAGGATGGGCGACGGCGTCGTCGTGAGGCTGGGGATAAATTGAAGCGTGAGCTTGAGGAGGAGGAGCAGAAGGCACAGGCGGAGGAGGAAGAGGCTCGAAAGGTAGCGGACCGTGGCTCTCAGCGCGTTGATCGCTCCCAGGATGGTGGCGCCAATGTTCCTGAGCTCGATCGGACAATCAAGGTGCGCTGGGAGCGCGAAGCGCTCGATCTCGATTCGGACCGGTTGAAAGCCCTTTTTGGATCATTTGGAAAGGTGGAGGGAACTTTCATGCTCAAGGACAAGAGGAAGCGTGTTGAAGGGAAACGTGAGAAAGTTACTCTTGCAACCGGCGCGGTCGTTTTTGAGTCCATCGTGGGTGCACACGCAGCCGTCGTGGACAGCGAAAAGAAGCTTCGCCAATCTGGCGTCCCAGATGGAGATTGGGCTCATATTGAGTCTGTCGAGTGGGCATCTGGTACCCCTCCAGATTTTAACTTCGGCGTCGCCGGCCAAAAGGCTTCCGAAACTGCACCTCCCAAACAAGATACTCCCCCCGAACAACAGACCCCTGCTCCGTCTGCCACGCAAGATACCAAGACATCCGAGCGGCCAGCAAAGTCTTCTTTCAGCTTCCCTGGCGTCAATTCAGGACCCCCAAAGTCTGGCAAGACACCCTCATTTGGCTCCTTCGCATCTGCGGCGACATCTGGTAAAGGAATGCCCAGCTTCCAAGAAACTGTGATGATGCGCCTGAAGAATGCACAGCGTGAGAAGGAGCGCAAAGCTCTTGAAGAAGAACTCGCCAAGGAAGATGAGGCAGCAGATGCCAATGGATCTAAATAGAATAGTTTTTTTGATATATTAAATTAAGATACCCCAGCCAACAAGTGGCTATGTTGATGAAACTCTTGTCTTGTTACTTATTTTACAGCTATAGATGGAGAGAATGGGGAGGATAACTTTTTTTATGTACATTATATCGCTATAGGTTGTCATGTTTTACATAGTGGCATAGAACTGAATCTAGTCCCGTCGTTGAACTGCTTCCTCCTCTTCCTCAAGCTGTTCCATAAACTCGCGTGCCCGCTCACTAAGATCAACTGTTGGGGTAGTGGGCTTGCGAATGCTTCCAAGAATGAATTCTCTCGTCCATGCGGGAACAAAAGCTTGCAATTTGACTTCAGCGGGCTGTTCTGTCTCAGCCATCCAGGAAACCTTGAATTCACTTCCAGGTGTGAATTGTGTCCCTTCTCCCGTCAACGCGAGATCAGTCATCATTTCGAGACGACAGAGTGCAAGACCAATATTCCCGACACCACTGAGAAACTTTCCAGCACTACGGCCCCGGCGGCCGCCAGCCTTGTTGATATTCGTGCCGGCGGGAGGCAGGGCAAGTTCAGCCGAGGGGTCATAAATTGGACTATCTCCCTTGGGAGCATCACCCGTATATAACTGGACCGGTAGAATACGCTTGCGTACAACACCAGTATGGTGCGTGCGAATCGTCAGCTCCTGGCCAACATAACAGCCCTTGCGGAAATCGATAGCACGGCCCATATCCATGTTCGCTTCCATAGGGAGTGACGCTTCTCGGAGAATTTCTGACTGTCCTTCGGGGACACCATGAAGTATACGACGAATGGTGTAGGCATCTAATCCGACCTCGTCCCCGGAGACCTGCGCTTCGTCGGGAAGATAGGTGCGGAGCGCCTCCGGGCCTGGAGTCACGATTCGAGACCCGAAGCCGGGAGCGCGTAGATCAATACATCCGACAACATTCGAAGAGGGTGCGAAAGGTGACGCGGTTTCGGATTCAAGGTTGTATGCAGCCCATCGAGGCTCGGCGTGATTCTTCCACGACGACCACACGGTTCGCTCGCCGTCCTCGAGGGCTCGGAGCTTCAGCTTGGCACGGAGCTTGTGTTTCTTTAGATGCTTCAATAGCGTTGTAACTTCATTCTTGTCCACCTCCACCAACCACTCTCGGTCGAGATCATTGCCTTCAGCGTTGGGGACAGGGTAGATAAATGCGTCGTTCAATATGCGCCCTTGGGAGTTGAGGAAAGCTGTATACGAGCCCGTGCGTCGGATGCTTTTGCTAGGGTCATTTGCCACCAGTATGTTTTGTGTGATCAGGCCTTGGAGGAAGGTAGCGCTGTCGACCCCGGTGATCGAAATGAGGCCGCGGTTCGTGAGGCGGGCATATCCGGTTTGGGGAACGAGGGACGCACTTTGGCACTGCTCGGGCTGAGCCGATATTGTTGTGAAAAATCTGCTTCGCGCGATACAGCGGCCGCAGACCGAGACGCGAGGGCGCATCATGATTGAGGTAGATGCGCAGAAATGTACTTAACTTCCGTACATGACGCACCGCGGAGCGCCGTCGGGGAAAGCTCCAACCGAATCTCAAAGGCGGTGGAGGGAGCCGCAGCGGCCAACCAGATCAACGACGTATCCAATCGAACTCAATCAACAATGTCAAGTAATCGGTTGTCAAACGAAGATTATAATATTTCTCTGACAGTGACCCTATTTTCGATCAAGAGTATCGTGTAGCTTCGATGAGGGGAGATCCCTTGATACGTGAAACGAGGTGATTAAGGTCTAATCTACCAGGTATTGATGTACAAAACAGACTACTAGTACTTTACTGGATCGCTCATGTGAAGAGTTATGCAAAATTATGTGAGTTTCAATTATCATGGGCTATCATCATAGCCGAATCCCGGCCTACGTATCATACAAAGCCGATCGGGTGCCATGGTTCATTTGTTGCCTTTGGCAACTCCTTGTAGATATCCAAGCAAGAACGCCTTGTTGCTCGGTGATGAAACGTTGTTTGCGCCAGAGGGGCCCGCATCACCCTCAGAAGGAGTGCCACGTCGAGAAATAGAATCACCGCTGCTAGGATTGAGATGAAGAGATGAAAGAGGGCTGACCAGACCAGAAGCATGGGAAAGATGGTGGTTCACCGCTCGTGAGTCCAGTTGCGTTGTGGACGGAGGGGTTGGAGAAGCTGCAGGCTTTCCAAAAAGTGATAAGAGTGCCTCCTTCTGCGAAGCGTTTTGACTAGGTCTGCGGTCGAAACTGGTCTGGGGAGAAAGTTCAGCCGTGTCCGTTTGGAGGCCAGGTAGGCTTGGTTTTCGGTCCAGGTTATCCGCTTTCTGCGGAGCGGCCATCAACTGGTCGTAATCGGTCTTCTCAGAGCGTCGAAGAATTTGGGGTTGGAAAGGCTTAACTGGCGCTGGTGCCCCAATCTGAGCGGGTTGGGGAGGTTGGGGTGGAGACGGACCCGGGGCGGCCTGTTTGTATGATCCGGACATAGGTGCATCGCGCTTGGCCGACTGGGGACGGGGGAGAATTGTGATGGGTGAAGAGAGCTGCTGCGGCTGCGGCTGCTCTCGGCGAGTTCCCTGGCTCTTGCGACTCGGTCCACTAGCCATCTTCTTGGGGCCCGTTTTCCCAACCGCTTCAAATTTGGGCGTATTTAAGGGGCCTGAGACAGTAGCCGATGTTCGACCGGGCCCGAATGGGCCTTAAGGCCAGCATCCCCACGTTGGAGATCATGCGCCGGGTGTTGATGTGCCCGCTGGATGATATGCTTTTCGTACGGGGACTGGACTTGAGGTACGGGCTGGCCTGACAGTTCAACGGGGTGAGGAGATGCAACGGGTTTGGGACCCTTGAAGAGATCCAACAGGCTATCCTGATGATGAGAGGTCTTGCGAGGTTGGTGAGGAAGCTGTGGCGGAGCCAGTCCAGGAGCTACAGACGCTGGTGTTACGTGGGATCCAACCGGTGTCTTGGAAGAATCATCCTTGAAGAAGTTCAGAAGCGAAAGTGAATGGCTAGTGAGCTTCGGAGGAGGCAGCTTGCTCGCATGTGGAGCTGCTACGCCCTGGCCTGGAGCTGGCTGGGCTGACCGGGACATCAGAGGGTCACCAGTCTGTTGGAAAGGAGCCATAGCGTGTCTGGGAGGTGTAATGTTTGAGGGCATGGGGGGGGTTGACGTGGGTAGTTCGGTGCGGGCCCCTGTGGGTATTGCACTGCAGGTGCTCCAGGCAACTCGGGTCGCCCCATTGGTGGAAATTGAGGCTGTTGGTGAGGATTCATCTGAGGCTCAGCAAACGGAGGACCGGGGTGTGATGGGGGGTGTGATGGCATAATTTGCTGTTGTGGAGGGAATCCAGGAAAGAAGTTGGGTGGCCGCTGAGGTGGTTGCTCAAGGGGTGGCAGAGCATGGTGGGGAGCATTCGGTTGGGGAACGGGTTGGTTCTGAAACTGAGGGACGTTATCTTGAGACCCTTTCCTCAAAAGTGCTAGCAGTGCGTTTGACTTGTGCTGATCGACAGGAGGAGGCTGATCAGCGCCGGGGGTTTGCATGTAATTAGAAGCTGTAGGGCCGCCAATCTGTAACAGCTGCTTGATATGAGATGACGCATCTTGTCCCAAATTCACTTCAGGAAGATCGCTCGGGATGGGCAACTCAGTAGTTCCTGGCAGGTGGATATTGCCATTGGAGTAATAAGGTGCATTCTCGTCCATCGAGGAATATCCTTCGATTTGAGAGGGGTGTTTCGCACTAACTTGAACCCTTGAACTGATCTTCTTCTGCTGTGCTATCCACTTCTTTAGCGGGTGGAGGAATGGAGCAACCATGTAGAACTTGTTTGCGTTTGCTACTGCGAGGCCCTCATCATGCTGCTTGTTCTTTTTCAAGGTCGGAAGCTCTGTCAACTTATACCACTCGATCTTGCTGATTTCCTTGCGGGTCCGCGGCTCAAAGTATGTGTCCTGAGGAACACCAGGAAAGACGTAGAGTCGCATATGCTGTTCACGCATTGTGATTTCAATATATTTCACCGAATCCTCATCCTTGACCAGGTTGGCCTCACGAACATCGAATCCAGTTTCCTCGTAGACCTCACGAATAGCACAGTCCAGGTCCTTCTCGCCCTTGTTGATCTTGCCTCGCGGGAAACTCCAGTTGGCACCTTTCTTCCAGCCCTTGACCAAGACCACTTCATCCATATCTTCATTCAGTAGGATCGCTCCGCGAACAGGAACGCGTGTCTTGTAGGCGAGGAACTCGGAGAAGGCAGCTTGGTGATGATAGGTAGACCATTGCGACATCAAAGGACAATGCTGGAATATGCGCATGGCAAATGTTTTCAGAGTGAGTGATGGCAGTGCAGGATCGAGCGGGCGAATAAAATCCTCGTAAAACCATTGTGCTTCTTCTACCTGAAAGCAAATTCGTTCCACAGACTCGAGTTCCTCGCGCGGGAGGTTAATGATGAAGCGGACGCACAAGTCATCCAGCCCTGTTGCGGCCCAAAGGCCTCAGTCAGTACTTCCGATCCTCACTTGTCAGGAAAACTTGAGTAGCTCACAGTCTTCTAATTGCATCTTTGTTTCGGTCATGTTGGGAGACGGAGCTTAGCATTTCAGCACGGACAACCAACCGAAACCAGGTGCTTGGAGAAGCTACAGGCGCGACAGATCGCAACACAGAGCAGCTTCCACAGATTATGAGGTGGCTTAGCGTAGGTCGAATAGAAAAGTCGAGAGGCAGTAAGGTTTCGTATGTGCAGTGCTGGGGGACGATCTGAGGTCGGAGTCGGGCGAACAGCTGGGCAGTCAGACAGCTGGGGCAGGTCCGGGCGCGAGTTGGGTTGGTATCAGCTGACTTGGATGTGGCGGGTGCTGTTGATCTCAGCCCCACCGCCACAGTTGTGGCTTGTGGCTGTGCGTTGTCCCTGGGTACACAACAAGAGATCAGCACTGCGGTGACGTTGCTGGCGGATTGCCCATCCAGGATTGTGGTTTGATTGATCTCTCTCAACCTCCAGTGGTTTCCCGCCCTTTCTTTTTTTTCTCTTTTCTTCCTGCCTGTGGAGCAACTGTTTCTATCCCTCCTTTCATCCCTGACTCGTTCTCGGTGCTTTTTATTGAAACGATTCCCGGCGCTACTCGAAACGACTTCCGCCAACTGCAGACCAAGCAAAGCTAAGGCTTGTTTTCTATTTTTGGCCCCTTAGGCGATCAGTATATCTTAAGCATCATCCCGCACAATTATTCGATACTGCTGTGAATTTATCACTCGGAATCGCTCTATAACTGAGTACCGTCATATTTCAATCTATCCAACATGTCGGGCGCACTATGGTCCCTTGTTGGGAAAAGGGTTCTAGCGGAATCCGCCAGAAACCACTTTGGAACAGAGGTAAGTGCGGTTATATGGACTATTTGCATTGAATGAAATAGAACTAATCGCAGATATAATCCCCAGGATCCTTATTTTGAAGAAATTCCGGCGTCACGGCTCGGGCGCGCCATGGGAAAGAAAACCCAGAAGCGTCGCAAAGCCATCCCTCCAGGTTTATCAGAGAAGGACACCAAAATCCTCACACAAGTCAAGCGCCGAGCCTACCGATTGGATTATGCTCTTTTCAATCTCTGTGGCATTCGCTTTGGTTGGGGTAGTGTCATCGGACTCGTTCCATTGTATGTCAAACCACGCTGTGCTCCTTTGTTTACCCGAGCTAACGACTCCTTCTTATAGCATTGGTGATGCCGCGGACGCTGGACTTGCCATGATGGTTGTGAGGAATTGCGAAGAAATTGATGGCGGCCTTCCATCGCGCTTGCGCATGATGATGTTGATGAATGTATTGATCGATTTCGTCATCGGCCTGGTGCCTTTCATTGGCGATCTTGCAGACGCGGTTTATAAGTGCAACACTCGGAATGCGGTCATACTTGAGAAACACTTGCGTGAAAAGGGCCATAAGGCGACCAGGAGACAATCCAAAGAACGACGCAGGCGACCCAGCGGTCAGGATCAGTTGACCAACGACCCTCTCGATGCGGTTGATACGGTCGATCACAGCCTTCCAGAGGAATGGGACAAACAAGAGAGCGGGGTGGCCAACAATTCACCACCAGAATACCGAGAGCATAGAAGATCGCGATCGCGTCGCTCGCACAATGATAGTCAGGCTCCGACCAGGCCAGAACCTGCCAGGCAGGCCAAAAGCAGTCGCGGCTTCGGCCGTTGGTTCGGAGGAGCGAGCCACCCCGAGGAGGACCTCGAGCGAGGGCGCTGAACTTACTCAGGTTGGGGTTTCCGTGGCCTTTTTCGATCGTGCAACCTGCAAGCCATTTTCTTCGTTTATCCATAACGCCGACCGGACCGACCTCTTTATTTATCTCTCCTGCGTTTCCATAATAATTTAATTTAGCATTTGAGATCAGGACGTGACCTCATACATCCGTAGCAAAATTGAGAGCCTTCCGAATCACCAGATTGAGTAGTGGCCGTGACGCCTGTGTTGCCCTTGACATTTCCCCGTGGGCCACCGCACAGTGCACAAGATGCGCCACCCTCAATACAGGAAGATTCGAGTTTGTTGGCTGTTCTCGCAACGTTCGACATAATGCCGGGATACTTTGCGCCCTGGTTCTGGACGTAACGTATCATCAATTCATCAATGGACAAGTTCTTGGTGAGGACATTGTCTGATAACGGCGCGTCAGGAATCACAATATCGGAAAGTTCTGGACACACACTCGCGTACTGAAGGAGCTCGGTTTTATACAAGTCTCGTAACGGAAACTCGAACCGCACACCCCACGGAGACATGCCATCAGACACCTGCCAGGTCATTGAGGCTCCACGGCCCTTTGAAACTCCTGCAAGTGCTCTTGCCGCAAGACGGCTGTCCGAATCGCCCCAGAAGACAGACTTGCAGCCGTGTTTCTGCGCAACCGCAGCAACAAGTCGTGTCAGCAAGACATAGTCCAGGTCAGCTGCGGAAGTTGCTGTGGATATCGAAGCACGGAAAGCAGACAGGCGATCCTCATTAGACAGCGAACTGTCATCTGCAAATTGAGACCCCGCATATTCGTGAATGATTTCTTTCATATCTGGAACATAATCGAATATGTCGTGGATTGAGAGCCTGGTATAGGCAGGCGATTGAAATGTCTCCAGTAGAACTTTATAGTTGTCGTCAATCGAAGCGTTCGAAGGATTGATTGAAGAGGGGTCGATCACGAGGACATGCAGGTCGAAGAATACCTTCCCATAGGGCTTGGCGAGTTGATGTTGAATTTGCGCTTCGACCATGCTCAATAGAACGGAGGAGGAGACACCGAGGGATAATGGAAGGAGAATTTTGGGTCGAACTTCTTGGGTTTTGCCGGGTCTGTATATTTCCATTCGTCTGTGCACTTTAAATGCGATAAAGTGCTTGTAGCAATCACTAGTTGAAGGTTAGTGGGGGCCTGCCAACTATATCTTTGGTCGTTACATACCTGCACAGCTGCCTCTTTCGAACCGTAAAGACAGTCTCTGCCTCCTTGCAGTCCATGCAAGGACGAGAAAGTTCCTTAGCAGGCATTTTTGCGTGTTTGGACCGAAGCGGGGATCGTCAACTTGGTAGAAAGAAAAAAAGGTCGGCATCCCGCAACTGTACCGCCCGCTTAGTAATGCCCCGGGTTCCCCGGTCTGAACTGGGAAGGCCACGCAAGTTGAGCTCGACGATTCCGGACGAGCTATCGTGGATCCGGCCAACTTTCTCCTTGCGCCTTTTTTCACCATTACATGCCGCGTGGTTTTCAAAGGCGATTCCTTCACAATCTACTGGAGCCTTTATTACCCCTAAACCACGACCGTGATGAAGGGCTGGCTCCAAACTCTCGGCCTAACGGCCTTATTAGCCAGCTCGGTACTTGCGAATGAAGTCGAACTGGTAAGCCATCGCGCGTTAGGTCTGGCCTGCTATACTATTACACAACGCTAATGGCATCTGTCTTTAGAAATCCGACGAGGCACACCGACAACGATGCTCAGGGATGTACAGTCGGAAGGCTTGGGGAGGGAATGTGGACCCCTTTATCCTGGTCAAGTTTTCCAAGGCGCAAACTGAGGAAGGCGATCCTCTTGCCAGCTTGGTGATCTTTGAATGGAACGACGAGGAATTGATTGGGGAGTACCGGTCTGGCGACTCCGACGTAGGTGTACCCATGCATACAAACTGCAGCCTGGAACGGTCTCAAGGCTAACGGATGGACGACAGACAAAGGACACTATTTGCGAACAAGGAAGCGTCGATGCAGGACTCTGCTCGAAGGAGGATATCGGGGCATTCATTCTCACCAAAAACGCCACTGATGTCTCCAAAAACCCCATCCTTTCCAAGGCGGTTCATCTCAACGACCCGGAACCTATCAAGTACCCTGTCAAAAAGACCGGTTTCTACTGTGTTAGCACCTACGCCTACTCCGATGAGGACTATTACTCGGTGGTTGAGTTCCGCAATGCATATGGCGAGCTCCCCGCTGCCCAAATCGCCAAGCTTCCTTTCTACGGAGCTATGACAATCGTCTACGCTGTTATTGGCGTGTAAGTATTGACTGTTTACGTCCCTGTCCACTGCGAAAACGGAGAGACTAATCTTCTTCTAGTTTCTGGGCATTCCTCTACGTGCAAAACCGATTTGACATATGTAAGGTGGCTGTTCTAAATTTCCATACATCGCTAACCAGTTCATAGTGCCCGTTCAAAACTATATCACAGCTATAGTCGTTTTCCTGATTGTCGAGCAGCTGATGACTTGGGGCTTCTATGGTATGATGCAGATGTAAACCTGTGCCGCAGTTACTCAAGCTAACTTCTCTCCAGACTATCAGAATCGACACGGATTGAACGCCATGGGAAAGGCATTGATGGTTATTGTCGCAATTCTCAATGCCGCTCGAAACGCCTTTTCGTTCTTCCTTCTGCTCATTGTCTGCATGGGCTACGGTGTCGTCAAGCCCTCACTGGGTAAAACGATGGTCTACGTGCGCATCTTGGCCATCGCTCACTTTATCTTCGCCCTTGTCTACTCAATTGCCACTCTGTCAATCACCCCAGACAGTGCTGGCCCATTGGTGCTTCTTATTGTCCTCCCTCTGGCAGGTACTCTGACTGCCTTCTATGTCTGGACTTTGAACTCGCTCAATGCTACGATGAAGGATCTTATCGATAGGAAGCAAAAGGTCAAGGCAATGATGTACAAGAGACTCTGGTGGTGTATTCTTGGAAGTATCATCGTCATATTTGGGTTCTTCTTCCTTAACTCCTTTGCCATGGCTGGCCACAGTGATGCCAGCTTTGTGCCGGAACATTGGAAGGCGCGGTGGTTCGTGCTCGATGGATGGCTCAACATCGTGTATCTGTTCGATATTGCTTTCGTGGCTTACCTGTGGCGTCCGACTGCCAACAACCGACGATTCGCAATGAGTGATGAGGTAAATATGCCATTCCCGAAGAAGATTGTAACAATGAAACCCATGCTAATCATATCTACAGCTTGCGCAAGATGATGATGGATTTGAGATCCGCTCATTCGGAAGCGGTCTTGACGAAGAGGACG